GAGCAGATGCATGCTTTATAGTGAAGTGTTGCAGTATTGTTAGGGTTTATGTGAATCCAGCATTCTGACTGATATGTACACAGTCTTTGTTTTGTATTGTTTGTATCACCATAGGGAGAAAGCATTGGAATAAATAGGGGAATGACTACACCGCTAACCACAAAAATGCGTTGACGCCACTGGCACATCATGATAGGCTTATTCAAAATGAAGTGTTCCCTGCCTTTGTGGTCAGTTAGAATAGCCAACTGCAGTTGAAGGAGGAGTTTAGAACAGACACATCAAGCCAGACAGTTTTAGGTCTTGCAAAGTTCACATATCAGTTACATTTCTTTGAGGAATATAAATTTGATTTTCACAAGTGAAAATAAAAATTACAAACATGACACATTTTATATGTTGTAAAAAAGTAGACAACGTTGGTCCGCTTGGTAGCATCATGCACTCCTACGCATTTCCGGCTTCTCCTTTTTCGCCACGATTTTTAAATTCTGTTGAAAGATGGACAAACATGGATCAAGTTGAAGAGAGATTAACCCACAACTGGTGCTCTGCTATCACAAATAACAGCGAGAGCACTGATTGTTGCTGGAGTGACAGAAAGCTGAAATCAAACCTGTTCTGTAGTATTTTGAGCTGTAGCCTGCTAGGCTAAGCTAACGCAAATGTACAGTGCCACCGAAGTACAGGCTCGGTTCCAGCTAACTAATGCTTAAAAAACACCCATTTTTTGAACAAATATAAACACTCAAATTGGTGTAGGCCACTTGTGTAGGCTACGTTAGACTTAGGCAAAGAAGCGACGCAGAAGTGTAAATCAGCCTTAAGCTAATGACTTGTGCATTAGAATCTCTAGTGTCAGAGATCCATAATAACAATTGCTAATTTGCAACTGCATTACCTCATTGTAGCACTCCAGCTCTGTCAAAATTAAAATTTACTTGCAACCCTGCTTGCAATTGCATTTTCACTCTCAATGAAGCATTCCTGTGAATCAAACGCTGTGGGTGGGACATCAGTTCGGGGCATATTTTAAGAGGAAGTGGTGAAAAAAGTGTGTTCTGACACATGGCTAATTGCTTGTTTAGAAAATAGAGGTAGCAACAGAAACAATTGCTAGTGACATTTTAACTCATGACAACCAAGCTGAGGATAAAATGATCAAAAGTAAATTCCTGTTGTTTCGTGTTGAAGTGATTCTTGATCAACCAGGAGAATTACCTCAAAACAAGTGTACAGCCATGTGGCAGAATCGCCAAAGTGACTTTTTGTCACTTCCTCTTAAAACATGTCTCGGACTAAAAAGTCCCTCCTGATGCCTCACCCACAGCGTTTGATTCACAGGAGGGCCTAGTTGACAGATTTTAATTTTGGCTGAAGTGCGACAAAGATGAAATGCAATTGCAGATGGGTATTTGTTATCCCATTTTTAATATGTCAGAGTTAGACCATCAAGAAAATAAAAAAAAATAATGTCAAAAGGACTTTGCTTTTCCATATTAGATTTTCTAGCCATTATTGTCTTAAATGATGCACTCTCACATGAGAAATGCAAGTGTAAATACACACTTTTATTAGCATTTTCTAATTTGCATTTGAATTTTGGGAAGTTCACCCCTGATCAGATGAAACATTACATCCTCTGAGTGAATGAATATTCACAGCACAGGCAACCAGAGCAGGGCAGAAGAGGAGGATAGTACTGCTATAAAAAAATTACATTCAGAACAACATTGCCCTGAAATTAAATTAGGCCTTGTTTTACCATATTAGTTTATGTCCCTGGTCATATTAAGCATTCATCATATAATTTAAAGGACAGAATTCTTGTTTTCTTATACTTTTTAAAGGAACATAGTGACTTCTTCACTGTGTGATTCACTGTAAAATAGCCCTGTTTTTAAGCCAGGTTTGGTTGTTGCTAACCTTCAGGATCGGGCCAATTTTTAGCCTTATCGGGCATCATTTGGCTTACAGTGTGAAGGAGGTAGTAGAGCCTGATTAACTGCTGAAACAAGCAAAGATTGAGCTATCGAATGACTGGAGGGATTTCTGACACATATGCTGTCTTTGCTCTGTTTGACTGAATGGAATCTCAAGGTATAAAAGTTTTGTAAAGTTGTCTTCGCAAAAAAGACCATAGAGAGACCGTACTGTCCTACCCATGTACATCATGTTCTCATTTCAGTACACAGTTACTGCAAATTGTTTGAGCACAATGTGAGTACCCCTCTCGCAGCATGTCAGTTGGTTCAAGCCACTCGTGATTGTACGATTTTTTTTTAGGTGAGGCTGCAATGGGGCCTCAGTTCCTGTTCAGAGGTCAAATAAATGCTTTCAAATTCTAAGAGCTCGATAATTATTCATAATATCTATATAATACATTTGTATATATTATTCATATTATGCACATACATTATTCAGTATATTACATTTAGCAGCAAACATTGTAAAATTTAATCATGAGGCTAATAATTTCACAGCTACCAAATAGAGACATGCAAAAAGTTCAGAAACCAACCCTTTGTACAGGGTCCAGAGGCTTGAGACGTTTAACAAATGAAGTATCATGGTGCATTCATATAGGGAAACATGTAATTGCTGTAGGACAGTGGGGACCAATCATGGTCCTGGAGATCCACCACCCTGGAGAGTTCAGATCCAACACCCCTGTGTCTAATTTTCAGATGCCTCTGAAGGCATCTATTAATTGGTTCAGGTGTGTTATATAAGGGCTGGAGCCAAACTTTGCAGGCTGGTAGATCTCCAGGACCAGGACTAGGTACCCTTGAAAGATGAAAACAGTGAAAAGATTCAATTTATTGACTTCAACAACTATAGCAATTCAAGTCATGTCAATGATTGTACTGCTTTTTAGGTACTCTGAAATTTTTGTTTAAAGTAACTTATTGCTTACCATACCAATGTCAGCGTGTATGAAATTTGGCAGACATCTACTTTTAAGAGCCCTCCTCAACAGTTATTAGAAATAAGGCCATTCTAAAAACTCACAGTCATTTATGTTGTGTCTGCTAAAAGGCCTCTATTGGTGCCATGAGGTGCAAAGTGTTTGGAGCCCTGTGATCGCCACTTGCATTGTAATTTGCAGACAATTGCTTAGCTCTCATAGGGAGTACAGTTCACAGAAATTGTGTTCTACTTCATTTTCAGACAAAAATGAAGTGGTACCTGACTGTAGTGGTCATGTTCTTCTTTTCTCATAACAGCTTCTTGACAGCTACACATCCTTTTAGATTTATAGTGTTGTGCTCTCTTTTCACAACAGAATGATAGACAGAAACACATGGATTTTCTCAGATCTGAATCATGAGAGAAGCTTAATTTTGTCCTTCTTCTCAAATTTGAAAGTTTTGCTGGTGTACCAGTTTTTGCATAGTCCTATTTTGTACTCTATCTTTTAATAATTTTATGAACTCCAGTTTTGGAGACTCCAGTTTTTTCCTGTGTTTGGGGAGTAACTGTTGTGAATGTTTGTATGCCTTGGTACCATAATATCAGTGACATCTTTTGTGAGCACTTTTTGTTGGGAAGACACAGCTGTAATTTTTTTGGTATATTTAATATTATGTGTTGGCGGCTTTTGCTTAATTGTGTAATTACTGTGTTATTAGTATAGTATTTTTTTCCATTATGTATCAGTTGTGATAAAAATGTATATCTATTAGATCCAAAATTGTTACAAAAGGATATGCAGCATTTCAGAATGAAATTCATTTCACTGGTAATATTTACACTCAACCCTTAGGCAGTTCGAAAGCATTGTGTAAATGGAAAGTCACTGACTTAGCAGTCTTCCATGGAAAAGGGAAGTATAACTAATAAACAAAGTTTTATGCTTTAGCAATATATTTGTATGATGGACTTATGAATATATACTGAAAAACATCCATCTAACCACCTTTGATCAAACCACATAAGTAATTAAAGAGGCCAGTAAAGACATGGGGTGTAAGACTACAGAACAATCAGCCAAATTACTTCTGAGGAACAACAGTGATGGCAAAAATATGTGGTTTAAAAACTTGTACATGTCAGTCTATTCCATAAATAATACATTGTAGGTGTCCCTGATAAAGTAGTCACTGAGAGTAAATTGCACACATATTTAGTGTTTACCAATGTAATTTGTTTTGTAGAACCAGATGTATAAGTTTTTATGTCATACTTACTCTAAAAACAACAGCTATAGTTGACAACTTGAAAGGTTAAGCATTTTCAACTTGCAGGTTGTCTGTTTTCAGGATGTTGGTTTACCACATATGACAGGCCTAGAATGTGGACTGTGGCTTAGACAATGAAAGACAGTGTTGCTTAGAGACAGACAAAAAAATAACATCTGGGTTGAAACAAAATGCTGCAGTAATATCCGCTTTAACGACAATGCTGGCAAATCTACTCTGCTGTCATAGAAGTCTCGCGAATTACACCTTGACGTTGTATATCTTCTCTGCTCTTCTCAATGTACTCATTATTCATCATTAATGGTGAAACAAATATATAATATATACAAAAAGCAGCATTATTGTGTAACCTTATAAACGTAAGGTAAAAGGATACAAATGGTTTTGCAGGACAAGACCATTATGAACATATTCTGGAACTTTCTGATTTCCTGTGTGAGGCTTCTAACTACTAACATCTAATTATAGCTCAAATAACTAAAATATTATAAACTACAGTGTTATGGACCCTGTAGTAGTAATCAAATTGTAAACCAGTACTGCTGATATTGTAGTAATCAAATAATTGTGGTGTTTTTACTTAAAGTGCTTTTCACTTTTATTAACTTTAAAGTTGCCTCATTGTAACTACGGGTACCAAACTCGCTGTGCCTATGTGTCCAATGTAAGGATGAGGCAAATTGATAAACCTCTCATAGCTCATAGTTGGCTCTTTGAACTTCAGTGTGAAGGAAGGCATTTCCTGTCTAGTCTTGACAAAAAAGCCGCCTGCTGTGACAGGAAGCCCACTCCTTTTGTATCAGGCTGGCAAGAAACATGGCTTTTGAGCTCTTTGCTTAGCATAAACTAGTCGTAAATTGGCAGACAGAATGGCTTTTGTCAAATTCATCCTAATAGCAGGTAAGAATGCAGTTGTGGTTGGTAGTAACTTAACAGCTATATTAGTAGGATCTGTAAGAAATTTCTGCAAGAATTGTCTGCAATCTTCAGTTTTCCTTTTTGGGCAGTTATCCTTTGGAAGTACTTGACAACCAAGTATTGATTTAAAGTATTGAGTGCTGACTTAGGAGATTAAGTTTATTTTATATAGTAAACGATTTCTTTTTCCGTTTAAATAAACAGCAGTGTTCAGTATGGTGTTAAGCCTATCTAAAGAAGAGGACCCTGATGGTAAGATCAATAAAGTCTCCTTATTACATTAAGTTATTTGTAGTTCAGTTTCACTCTGGCTATCAGATTTTAATTCTCAAGCAAGATGGATTTATAGCTTTTGATTTCTGCCAGATTTTAAAACTTTGTATGTGTTAACTGGTAACTTCATAGGACAAAGAACATAATTAACCTTTAATGTAAGATTGTGTAACAAGATTTTATTACAAGTAATTTTTTAACCTTTATTTAACCAAACAAGTCACATTGAGATTTTGCAAAATTTGGACCGTTTCTGTTAATCCATTCATCTTTAATTGTTCATACAATGTGGAACAGCTGTGTATGTCAAGGTCTAGGCTATATTAGATGGTAAATGAACACTTGGTTTTCATAGTTAACATGTTAGATGCATATAGGAATGAAGATGAGCAACTTTGACAACCTTGACACCAAATCATTATGGCCAGACGACTAGGTCAGAGCATTGTGAGCAAGGCTTGTAAGATGCTTCCGGTCAGCAGTTACTGACAGTGGTCCGAGGAAGAATCCACCATAAAAGATTTTTTTTTTGATTATGTGTATTTAGTCTTGTCAGTTTAGTGCTCTGCAAGATGTATGCTATTATTGAATATTTAAATAGTAATTTAAAAATCGATAAATATTTCTTTTCCAGTGATCACAAAACCTATGGCTATGGAGGCTAAAGGTACTGGGAGACATATTGCTTCACTGGATCATTTCCATTTCTTTCATTTTTGCCATGCACATTTGACCCTTAAGGGAGTGGGGTATAACTTTACGTCTTCCAGAATTAATCATGACCTGAATTACCAAATGTCAGCTACTATGTTTAAATTACCAACAGAGCAGGGGGGGTCCTGATTCATGCATATAACCCTAAATCATTTTTTATTACATTTTCATTTTTATACAGAAAATATTTAAGTTGACAGTTTTTCTTAACTGACTTTTTTGCACCTTCACTAGTTCACATTTCTAAGCCCAGCATAACTGCCAGTTTAAACCATCAAGTCCTGTACCAGGGTGAGGATGTTGTTCTACAATGTAAAGTTCCAGAGAAACTGACTGATTTAGAATATGCTTGGGATAAAGACTCTGTTCCCATTAAGTCCAGTCAATCTACCTACAACATCAGTGGTGCCACAGTGTCTGACAGTGGAAAATACTCATGCATGGCCAAAAGAGGAACAACCACGTCTGAAAAAAGTGACCCCCAAGTTTTAACTGTTAAAAGTAAGTAAATTCTTGTCATATTTTCAGTTTGAGAGGCTGTTCAGAAAGCAAATTAAATTGCAGAAAACAAAACAATGAAGTAAGGGGAAAGTCTACAGTAAATATTTTCAACAAATGTTATTGCTAAAGTTTTGCACAGTTGTTTTAGACTCCCATCTTGCCTCTTTCTTCTAATTAAAGTGTTGGTATAACACTGTAGTTAATTCATTTATGTAGTATTAGTAGGTATTAGTAACATTATGTCAATCTAAATACCATATATATATATATATATATATATATAAGACCTGAGCAATTTTGACAAGGACCAAATCATTATAGCCAGATGACTGGGTTGGAGCATTATGAGCAAGGCTTGTGAGAAAGGGCTACGAAGACTATCCCATCTGGTTAGAACTGACAAAAGGGCTACTGTGGCAGACATCACAGAAATTTTTAAAGATGGTTATAGGAATAATGTGTCACAACACACAGTGCATTGCACGCTGCTGCATATCTGGAGGTCAGGGTGGCTTGCAAAAGTATTCAGCCCCCTTAAAAGACAACAAATTTGGCTGGATTAAAAATGACACTTTGATATTTTACATTGTGTAATGTTTTATTTTAAAAGACTGACCCTAAAAATTCATTAATTTAAAGTGATATTGGTTTCATGTAAGAAAATATTGTCTAATAAAAATAACTAATTGAAAAATGCTGTTTCCATACGTACTCAACTCATGTGCTGTGGAAGCTTCAAGTGTACATACATGAAAGATATTGCCCTAACAAGTACACAGCTGGATTACAATCAATCAGTCAACCTTTACTTAAGCATTTAAGCTTGGAGTACTTTGAGGGACACCCTCATTTACAATGTAGCTGAGCCAATAAATACAGAAATCAGGGAATAAGAAGTTAAATAGTAAAAACATATCAAATGCTAAAAAAGTAATAATATACTTTGTTTTTGATACATAAAGCCAAGTTTTTGCCTCGGTTTATTTGTGAGCTTGTTAATATGGTGTTTAAAAGTGCATTTGTCGTCTAGCAATATGCCAAGGTATTTTGTACTCACCAACTCTCTCAGTGTCGGATCCCTTCAGGGTTGCAATTGTAAGAGTGTTCAGATCAATGATAGAGGCTCTGGAAAACAGTGTTGAGGTTTTAAACATTTAAAACTAGTTTATGATTTTAAAAAGCTGATTGTAGGGCATTAAAAGAATACTGCAGTTTATCCGCTGCAGTACCAGTATAGTCAGCCAAGCAGTACAAGATGGTGTCATTGGCATATAAATGCAACTTGCAATTGAGATGGGAATGTCATTAATATAAATATTAAGTAATACTGGTCCGAGGATCAAACCTTAAGGGACCCCTTTGATTATTTTTATGGATCAAAGATCCCTTTAAGTACCACTGGTCAGATCATGAATCTGAAAAAAAGCTGTGAAAATGATGACCAAAGAACATTGTAAGGAAAGGCATGCGTAAGACAGGAAAAGGCTACAGAATAATATCCAAGTGTTTGGTTATCCCAGTGAGCACTGTTGGATCAATTGTGAGGAAATGGAAAGTCATACCATCCAGTCACTGCCTAAACAAACCAGGGGTGCCCACACTTTTTTGGCTTGAGATCTACTTTTTTCAGTGGACAGGTCATTGTGATATATCTTTTAAAAAAAAGTCTGTCTCGTACCTTTTTAAAAGATTTAAAACTTTTTTTAATGCACTTTAGTGGCCTATGTTGTCAGCATTACAGGGCAGACGACTGAAAAATCACACTAACCCTATTCTGATGATTTGCACTAAATGGTGTCAGCCAGGCGTGTGTAATTTGGATAGTAGCTGCTGATGCCAATAACTGTAACTTATAACTGTGGTTTAGGAGAACTGAACAGCTTAAATAGCTGACACCATGTCCATTTTGTTTTTAAAATCTTGAAATAGTGAGTCTGCTGCCTTGACTAAGGCCTCTTTGAAAATCTGCCGATTCTTAAACTTTTTTTTGTGTTTCATGATAGGACAACTCACTTGAAACGAAGCTATGGTAACAGTTTTTGCTTTATAGCTGAGCTTTTTAAAGATTGGTTGCTGGACATTCAATTAAGACATCAATTCTTTTACTTTTTTCTTCCTTTTGTCTGGGAATTCATCACCATAGTTCTGGGTATAGTTTTATAAATGCCTCTCAACGTTGTCCTTTTTTTTGGAAGTGCAATGGCTATGTGGCATATCAAATAGATGCATGATTTTGACTGAAAACTAACGTTGTAAAAAATAGTCCTCGTGCTCACTCTGCATGGACGTGGTATGTTTTCAGTTTCTTGGTGGTCTCGTACTCATCCTCTGAAAGAGTCAGTGTAAATTACAAAAGCAAAAATGCAAAAATGGTGATACATGAACTGGCTACCGATAAATGAAAATTTTCTAGATTTCTAAAGAGGCAAACTCACAGCGGTGAGTAAATTAAAGAGCAGCAGGACAGTGGCCACATTTCACATAAATCAATCACAAATTAGAGTCAAATTACAGTCTTCAGCCTTCTCTGCTTCCCTCCATCAGGAAATATCACATTAAGGCCTAAAACATACTTTATGACGTAAACGCAGACACCTCAAGCTACGCAGACAGGCTTTCACACATAGTTGCGTTCAAAAATGTCTCATGACGCATTTCATAATGCAACACAAGCGCAAGCACATTCTGAGCATTACTGGGTGGAGCGGTGTGCCTTGAAAAAAAATTATTACATTGTTTTTATTAACTGAAAGTAATTTTTATATGGTGGGCCCGTTAACTACTGTACTGGGGCCCATAAGATCCTAGTTACACCACAGAGTAAGAAAATGTTGAAATTTGATAGCCTGTTTCAATGTCATGTACATTTAAATGAAGTGCGACCATCGTGCACTGTGTAATCAACATATTGGGCACCCTGCTAACATCAGAGGCCTTGTGAGGGAAGCCACAGAGAGGCCAAAGAATCACCTTTAAGGAGCTACAGAGTTCAGTGGCTGAGATTGGAGTAAAGGTGCACCAGTCAACCAGTGTTAAGAAAGAAGCCACTACTGAAGAAAAACACATCAAAGCACATCTGAACTTTGCTAGAAAGCATCAGAGTGACCCAGCTAAAATGTGGGTTAAAGTTTTGTGGTCAGATAAAACAAAAATTTAGGTTTTTGGCCAAAATCCAAAATATTATGTGTGGCACAAACCTTACACTGCCCATTCTTCAAAACGCACCATCCCAACAGTGAAGTATGGTGGTGTACATGTTGTGGAGATTTTTTTCCCTAGCGGACTGGGTATTTTGTTAAAATTGGCAGATATGCAGATGGTGCAAAATACATGGTGATACTCCAAGACAACTTGTCTCAGTCTGTTAAAATTAAAGCTTGGGAGAAAATTCACCTTTCAGCACGACAATGATCCCAAGACCAAAGCAACACAGTGGGATTGAACAGTTGAGTGGTTCAACAAAAAAAAGGTGAACATTCTACAGTGGTCAAGTCACAAATCTGTGGCACTTTTTGAAAACTGACCTGGTATGAGGCTAGAGTTGCTAACACTGGAAGTCAATAATCACCCAAACCATTTTAGTAAAATACCTGCCCAAAACCATTTAAAACCTCTCAAGAAAGTGCAATGCTTCAAAGGATGAATAAATGTGGCTTCAGTCAGTCCTTGAAAAAGCCCGGTTGTTACTTCTGAAATCTGTGCCCATTAAACCTATGTAATAAGACTGTATGCCTGTACCTGACAATGTAAACAAATTTTTAAAAAAGGAAAGCCTATAAGTAATGTCAACTTAACTATATTTTGCAGGATTTACTTCAATAGTGTAATTTTAACTAAAATTAATCATGTTCTTTCTACTTAAGCAAATTATGTAGATTGTTATATACTTTTTTTTAGTTAAAACTCAAATATACCTGATACCTTTCTGATGACATTTACTTGTTGCTTGTAAGTTTTGTCAGCATAATTATATTTTGTAAAATTTCCTTTAAGTGTAATTTTAACTAAATTTAATCATGTTCATGCTATTTCATTAAATTATGTAGATTGTTAAATAACTTTTTAGTAAAACTACTCAATTCTGGTGTATTTCCAAATAGTTACTCATTGTTTATTAGATACAACAGCTTAATTATATCACAGAGCATTATTAATGTACAATGTTTAAATGTTAATTTTCACAAATTAAACTTCAGCTACACTTATTAATCTTCCATCTATTTAAACACATGGTCAAGACAATGACTATCATGACAATAAAAAATTACAGTAACTTTATTAATGTACATCAAATGCATATGCATATCAGGATCAACTAAAATACACATTTGCTTTACCACTATAGAAAAACACTCAATATTAAGTAATAAAACTAGACTATAGACAAAATAAAGCAGAGTAGTAAAAAATAGACTGAATACTTCTCTAAAAGTGCACAGGTATCAATCAATTATTGCTTGTCTTGCAGGCAACACAAGCTAAAATGCAACTTTACAAACAACAATAAGCTTCAAACAGAACACTGCAATTCTAAACACATTTGCCTAAATGTGTGTGCCTTTAATCACAATTAATTAAGTCTTAAGTAATGGCCCAGAATTTGTGAACCAATGAAATAACATTCAGTAATTATGTAATGATAACACCAACCTTAAGTGCAACTTTACAGCAGAAGATATTTAAAATAGAACAGCACAATAACAGTATTAATATTATATGACTTTATACAATATCCAATTGTCATCAGTGATCAAAATAATGCCCCAGAAATAGTGCCCACAGAGTACAACCTTCTTGTCAAAGCACTGCCTCTAGTTAGCACAACCTTATTTTGCTTGTTAGACTATGCAAATTTGAGGTGAAAGTTTATAGAGCTCAAATTATTCAAAAGGCTACTTTGTACAGTGTTAGCAAAAAAGACTCAAATTTAACTGCATGCCGTTTTAAGACATTGTTCTTAAACATGACCAGGATCTTGACATGTTGTATAGAAAATCACTGAAATGTCACTGAATTTTAAGAGATTTTGACAAATACAGCCATTCTTGTTTCATGTGACTTAAGCGTTGTTCAAAAGTCCATTGCGTTTAGACAGCCTACTTTGACTATCCCAAGATTTTGTTCTCCAAACCAAGAATATTAGGGGAGAGCTTTGCACCATCCTTTGGCATGAGGAATGTACAAATTCATAGCAGCATTTCCACCCATTGTGGTAAGCCATATTCATTGCATAGATTACTCCAAGCATTACTGCAGTCCGGTGCAACTGATTTGATGTTTCCTACAATAATGTTTCCATCAGCGTCAGCGTCTTCATATTCTCCAAGAGCTCCACCCTCTTCTGATGACATAAATGCCCAGTGCTGTGCTGGTCTCTCAAGATGTCTTCACCTTGAATGTCCTACAAATTAAATCTTGTTATTAATACTACATTCCATTGTACTCTTGCTCCATAAAGAGTAAGTTCAGTTTATTTCTCATTTGAGCTCTTCTACATACTTCCAGGCACCTTGGACAGTTTTTTAATATCAAATACTTATTTTATGATGAATCTAAATAAAATCAGCCCCCATCTCCACAAAACTCCATTCAATGGTAAAATACACACTGCAAAAAGTTTTAGTTCACCCTTTTCACACTAGCACCTACAATCTGTGGTTGGTGCTAACATACTAACACATTAACGCCGCGTTTCGATTTGGATTTACTATACAGGTGGGAGGGGGCTGATTTTATGAAGCAAATGTTATAAGCAATTCATATAAGAACTGAAATGCCTGGAAGACACACAGTATTTAAAAGAGCTCAAATGTGAAATAAGATGAATTTACCTTAGTTAGAAATTAGAATTGAATTAGAATGATGGTGATGTGCTTAGGTCACATACTGACTTACCATGTACTCCTTGATAAGAAATCCATCATCATCATTTCATCATTCAGGGGCAGACAAAGAGGTTTTATGATGGCTTCTCTTTTACAGTGGACATCCTTTGCCTGCACATATTGATTGCACTTGTTAGAATATACCTTCAATTGTTTAAAAGGTACATTAACCTGACAAGCATACAAGGAACAGATAAAAGAAACATGAACATAAAAATCCCGATCATCTTAGAGACTGAAAAATGATTACTAATTTGAACAATAAAACAAATAAATAAAGAGTAGCTTTACAAAACAAATAGCCTCATAGTTAAATACAAATATCAAATCTGGGTCATTAAAATGCACTTACCAGAGACCTAGAACATGCCAGAGAATCTTTTAAAACATGGCACTCAACAACCTTGGTAAGCCTTAATCTATAAACAAAGACGGCATTTAAATAAAATTAAATGAAAAATGTTAACATGGTTTTATCTTAAACATAACCTTTAATGTTTTATCGCTTTACTTTAATGTTTTATCTCACCATGTGGAAGGACATAACAGTGCATTATTTTGGCTGAAATTTAATAGTCTTACAATAATATATATTATTTTACTCATATTTAGCTATTTGTTTTAATTCTTTGAGCATTATTTTAGTTTGAAACCAACTATGATATTTAAGTCACATCATGGTTCTTTTAATCAATATGGCTATCAGGATTCTCTGTCTAGGGTTTGTGCATTATTGAGCATCAAAATCAATGTATAATAATTAATTCTACCACTTGGCACTTTAAGACCATAATGTTTAACATAAATGCAGTTTGACTAAACATAAGGTAAACTATATCTTGGTAAAATTGACAGAGGGGTTACATGAGCAAAATACATTTGTGAGTGTGTGTGCATGCACCATCTTATATACAAACTTACATTCTGATTATAATAATGACTAGTGACACTCTACTGTTATATGGGCAAACATAAACCTCTTTTCCACTACAGAGCTGAACAGTTATCATTAGCTTGATAGTTAACAAGATAACGGATTCTATTATGCTGAACTAAATCTCCACTGACAATTCTGATAGAGCAAAGTTGAGCGATTGGTGTTGAAGGAACAGAATGCTGAAATTAATGTTAAACCTGCTTCATGGTGCTTGTAGCCTACTAGCTAAGTTAGCCAGCAACTGCTAACACTAACGTTTGCTTATCTAACTAACGCTAGCTAGCTGCGTTAACGGTATCGGAGTCCATGTTGGAACACCACATTACGAACTGGGTTCACTGAACAGAGCATTAAGTCTTAAATGGACAAATGCTGAAATTAAACCAAGTAGCTGATGTCTGCAACCTACTAGCGTTTGCAGGCTCCATCAGAAAACCGGCTCTGGCTCCATATCCAAACTCCAGGTTCGGTTGAGCTAGCTACCTAGCTAACAAAGGCTGAAATTACACAGGTTTGTGGACACCTACTACCCAAATATCATATCCGAAATCACAGGCAAAGCGAGCACAGCCTCCCCCTCGGGAAAAGATTATTACAGGTCATGTCAAGGACACACAACTAGGTCTGTTTACTTCGAATATGCGTTGAATTGAGCCCCTCACAAACTTATCCTATGCTAGTCGTCCCTTAACTGTACGTTTTCATCTGTTATATCCAACGCTGCCTTGTGTTTGTGTGTGTACAACCATCAAAACAACATTTTACCGTGTACCTGTACGATGACACAGCAGCTAAATGCACTCATCTGCAGTGAACTTTAGAAAACGGCGCCGTTACTTAGCTATCTAGCTAGCTGGCTAGGTCCACAGTAACGCTAGCTAACGGTTGTATTCGTGCGCATACTTAGTGAGGACCTCAAGTGACCTCAACATAGACAGATACTTATGAAGCACACATTAAATTAAAACACTGTGATCAGTAGTAAGTTTAGTGATTATTTGACTGAGTATCGTTATGTGTACTTTGAATATGCGTTGGTTTAAACTAACCTGGCTAGCTAGCTAAGCTAGTGAATTTTAAGCCATGCTAAGTCCTTTTGCCAATATTTTTCTGCGTAAATGTCATGAATATGTTATATGTCCATAATGACAAACAATAGACAATATACAATATCCTACCTTGTGAATGTAAGATGACAGAATCTTCTCAGGTAAGCCAAACCTTCCCAGAGACGAGATGTAGAAAATGGCTGCCATCAGCTCGGAAAAAGTTGTGCATGCACATGCGCAGTTTCTACCCTTTATTATTTCTAATTCACTTTAAGCATGTTTCATATGTTTAGTTTACTGGTTTTCAACATTGCTATTATTATTTAGTTGAAGAAAAGACATTTAAATTGAGGAAAAACATGCACAATTTTATTATGTAAAATTTACTAAGGGCCAAGTTCATTTTTTTCAGTGTATCACTAGCAGGACAGAGAGCATTTGGAAAATTTGCTATTTTCTTTATGCAACTAGGGAAAGTCAACATAGCTACTTCTGGACAAAATATACTAGAACATACTAATAAAAGTACTAATAATACCACAACAGTATTCTTTCAGTGATGCATAATGTAACTTGTTTAGATGGATGTATTTATTGACTTGTACAGCGTAAATGTTATTTTAAAACAACAAATATGTTACAAATAATTTAACTTTATATTAGGCTACATTAGAAAAATGTTATTTAATAGGCTTGTTTGTAGAACCAAGTTTACATGAGTAGGCTACTTTAAGATAAATTATTTAAAATTCAAAATGCATTGTAGACACACACATGCTTTATTTGAGGGGGCCATTTATAATCCAAATATGTCCATGTATACACCTAGGCGAGTCTGACTGAGGCTATCTGGAACACAATTTCTATCCAATTGAATAAAGTGGGTAATCATGTAATTAATCCATTAAATAGAAGAATAGAAGCCCTGTAAACACCTGTATCTGATTACATACCCAATCATAAAGTTTAAGCATGTGTGTTAGCATCACAGCAAAAGTTTATTATGTTCAAGATGGCAGGAGCCAGAAACTAGTCGGTAACATTTTACATTAAGGGTGCATGATCTGCCAGTAATTAAGGCATTTACTAATGAATAATTCTTCAGAGAGTAATGAAAAATGATTTTTTCATGACAAATGTCGCTGGTGTTACCTTTCTTATGTGTAACACCAGTGACGATCAGTAACACCAGTGACTCCTGTGCATAGATAAATGTTATTCAAAGCTGTTCATTGAGTTCCTTTGCATAAAATACCATACAGATTTCATGATTATAATGTTTATCTATCAATGTTACTTCCTTTTTTGGTCAGTAATGGCTAAATTAAATGAAGCTGAGAAGCAGCAACTTTACAAACAGCGTAGGGATGCTGATCCTGAACGCACAGCAGAATACTTGCAGAAAAAGAAACTGGGCTATGCCAGAGACACTGTGCACACAATCTTTAAATAAATGCCCAAAAAAAGTAAAAAGTCATTAAGCTGTCATTTATGTGTATTTGTACAGCTAATAAGTTATGTAATAACATAGTCTAAGTTTAAATGTTTAAAAAAATAAATTTTAAGAAATCTTGCCACTCCAAAAGTGGATGTGCAAGCATGTGAATATGTCAGTGTAGTACAGGAAAAAGAAGCGGAACCAGTACATACTGGTTCTGTTGTTCCACAAACATTTGTAAAACGGACAGAACTACTAATAGACCACTGTAGTCGTGTCGTCATTTTGTAATCGGCGCCATGCTCTAATGCCCATATTAGGAACTCCGGGTCTAAGCTCCATTTCTCTATGGCCAGAATGAATAGGGTTTTCAAAAAATCGCCTCTATCGCACCCCGTGGTAGATAAAAATGTTCAGACCCCAATACATTTTGTCCTATGAATATTCTTCTCTCGAATACCTCTGGATCCTCTGAATTACAAGGTCGTTAAAGAGTTGAAATATGAATATTACTACATGAAAGCTGATGCTACCACGCACTGAATTCACATCATTAGACTTGCAGCCTCCTTAAGCAGGTTTTGGCAGTGAACATTTCCATGTACAGACTGGGGGCAAATGAAAAGGAGTCAGAACAAAATCACCAGGTTTCCCTGCAGTTCTCTGTTCTTCATCTTATACTCAGTGAAACATGATAGATCTCTCCTTTTAGCTTGATTTGAAAAGATCTGCAAACTCAGGCTAATCCAGTACAGACTCAGCTTAATATTACTGCTGACCCCCTGATAAACTGACTTAGGCCATTAGAATGTCCTAATTATTATTTTAATGCTGGTAACATTTTTCTTAGGACATTTTCTCAGGACATTCGCCAGCTTTTTGTTTAACTTTTCCTGCTCCACCTTAAATGGTGCAGCAGTCACGTTCTGAACTGCTGCGCCATTTAAGGTGGCACAGGAAAATTCGAACAAGCAGCTGGTGAAAAAGAAGCTGACTTCAGCTTCTTGGAGGGTTGAAAGGCATAATACGAGGGGGTTTCTCTATTTCCGCTTAACAGCTGAGCGACATTAACTTATTTTTTGCTGTTTCACCACAATAACAGATCAGTTTTTTGTCGTTTGCTAATGTTTGTGATAGCTAGTCACAGCTGCTGCGCCATTTAAGGTGGAACGGGAGCATTCAAACAAGAAGCTGCAAAAAAAGAAGCTTAATTCAGCCTCCTTAGTTTTAACCCGGGTAGTAGTTCTGATAAGGAGTTTCAGCCTATCAAAATATCCCACTGAGAGGTTTTATTTATGGGTATAACTGTAATTATGCGCTACGATAGAACATTTTGATAAGGTAGCACAACTCGTCAGAGCACTGCCACAGCCCACCTTAGTTTCGTGTAGCTTAGTGACATCAAATAGATGCGCAGTAGCTTCAGCTCCCATGTAGCAATATTAGTATTATAGTTAGCTCTTTCCGACCTCGTAATTCGGACGATCCAGTGGTATTTGGGAGAAAAATGTACACAGGACAAAACGTTCTTAACATTTTTATTTAACACAGGGTGCGACAAAGGCGATTTCTCGGAAGCCCTATTCATTCTGGCCATAGAAAAATGGAGCTTAGACCTGGAGTTCCTAATGGGCCCTTCTCACAAGAGTCATGATTACTTCCGGTTTAAGCGTTAGCAGGATTAAACTCACTTCCTCTCCATATAACTACTGCAGAAGCGATGACAAAATGTTATAGTAGTGAACTATAATGCTCAAACACTGAGCTACAACAGTTATATTTTAGTTTTCCTGCACTATCATGACAAACAGCGAGAATAAGAAGTGGACAGAAGCACTGATTTAAGTTTAAACAGAGCCAAAATGCTGTACGTGTGGGAGAGCCTTGTTTTTATTGCAGTCTGATGCAGCTGCCTCACATCAAGCAGTCTCTGTGTCTTTGTACAACATGCCAGCGATTTCTGTAATATTTCTGCTTTCAAAAGAAAGAAGAACTTTTATATGTAGCATGAATTTGATGGCGTTTATATTAAGCTCCTACGCTGACTAGAAGCTATTGCTAACCAAACTAGATTGCCCGGCTAACATAAAACAGCTTTCTGCATCACCAGCTAATTTTGTACTCATCTTTATATAGCTAATGAAGGCAATAAACCGTCAACGAAATAATTCTTACATGATCAGCTTGGTACAAACAACTAACATTGGCTGGCAGATCTTCCCAGATCACAAACAACTAGCTGGCTATGTCAGGAAATCAAATGTCACCGCATAAGTTAGCTAGGAGTCACGTTTTTGATTGAGCAGTGAAAGGTGGATGTTATCCGAAGTACTGCTTCAAAATTGCCATGAAACTAAAAGAATAATGCTGTTTGGCAGATCGCTAACATAGCTAGCCAGCTAGCTTTAAAGTTTGCTACTCATATGAAGCTGGTGTTCCTCAAACTGCTAATGGTAAGCTAGCTAATTAGCGACAGTAGCCTGCTAGCCTACCATAAGCTTTAAACGAGGTCTGTCAATCAGACTTTACATATTAAAGTTTGGTTTGTGTTTATGTCACAGACGTCGCTGGCATCCTGTAGCTAAATGCGACACAGAACCCGTTCCACGTTAGCCTGCTGGTGCCAGCAGCTAATGAAAGCTAACTTCTTTGTTTGGGAATACAGCCACAGTTAGAAATAGCTTCTAGCAAAGCTAGCTAGCTAGCTACATCTAAACAACGCATACCAAATTCATACCACATATAAAGGTTCTTCTTTCTTTTGAAAACAGAAATATTACAGAAATCGCTGGCATGTTGTACAAAGACAGAGAGACTACTTGATGTTAGGCAGCTGCAGCAGCAGCAGTAAGCAGGGATACGCCACATATACAGCATTTTAGCTCTGTTTAAAGTTAAATCAGTGCTTCCATTCAGTTCTTATTAATACTATTTGTCATGATAGTGCACGAAAACTGACATATGTCTGATGTAGCTCAGTATTTGAGCATTATAGTACACTACTACAACATTTTGTCATCACTTCTGCAGTAATTGTATGGAGCGGAAGTTAGTTTTACCTTGCAAACGCTTAAATCGGAAGTAATCGCGACTCTTTGTGAAAAAGGTACAAAAGAAAAGGAGAGAATACCGCACTAGAATAGCGCTCGGGTATGCGCAGTTAGCGCGTCCTCTCACTGTCCTGGCTCAGTCTCTTTACACCATAGATATACATACCTAGATGCTGCGGTGCCTGTTGTTCTCTAAGGCGATACGTCTGCGCGTCCGCCATGTTGGCAAGCTCTTGTAGAAACATAGTCTCACACACTTCAGCAAATCCATCAATGTGTGAATCACTTCTAATCTTAATACACATAAAAATAAAATAAACCCCCAAAACACAGCAAGAAGCTTCCTATTCGCCAGCTTCTTCTTCGAGTTTTCCTGTTCCACCTTAAATGGTGCAGCTTCAGGCACCAGAAAGTGCTGCTGCACCATTTAAGGTGGAAAGGGAACATTCGAACAAGAAGCTGGCTGGTGCACCATTTAAGGTGGAATGGGAAAATTTGAACAAGATGCTGGCTGATGCATCATTTAAGGTGGAAATTCAAACAGGAAGCTGGCAAATAAGAAGCTAACTTCAGCTTTGTGTAAGGCGCTAACGTTAATCTATTATGAATATCTACATGAATTAAGGAATACTATAATTTAACTAATTATAAAGCATTAACCATCATTGTAAATAAATAACTACTACATCAAGTTAAGATCCCCTGAACAGACTATTAAATGCTTAATATAAAACCAGAGGAAAACAATCACATCAACAGGTTCTCTGTGTCTCATTAACCACACGGCCATATCTACACATAAACATCACACAAACATGAGCGTAGATCACTGCGTTCCTGCCTAGCTGGACCCAACGCGGCATCTAGGTATGTATAAACATGGTTTACACTATATCTATGACCACTAAGCCCTGGGACCATAGATATACATACCTAGATGTCGCGTTGGGTCCAGCAAGGTACGTCTACGGCGCCGCCATTTCAGGGCGGTCAGCATCGCGGCTGGACTGCATTCAGTACCATTACAGAGCGGCAGTTTAAGAAAGATACTGTCCAAAGTTATACTGTTTCAAGAATATTGCACTCAGAAAGTGGTATATGATTATATGACGAAGGGAATGCAATGATACGAGCTCATGTTTGTGTAATGCGTTTTGTTTGTGTAATGTTTATGTTTAGATATGGCCGTGTGGTTGGTGAGGCACAGAGAACCTGTTGATGTGATTGTTTTTCTTCTGATTTTATATTAAGCTTATTTCATTTAATAGTCTATTCAGGGGATCTTAACTTTATGTAGTATTTATTTATTTACAATGATGGTTAATGCTTGTAGTTATAGCACTCCTTAATTTGTGTATTCGTGATAGATTAACGTTAACACCTTATTACACAAACCTGAAGTTAGCTTCTTATTTGCCAGATTTTTGTTCGAATTTTCTGTTCCTCCTTAAATGGTGCATCAGCCAGCTTCTTGCTCAAATTTTCCTGTTCCACCTTAAATGGTGCAGCTTCATTTAAGGTGGAATGGGAAAACTCGAACAAAAAGCTGGCGAATAGGAAGACAACTTTAGCTTCGTCCTTGTATGTATTAAGATTAGAAGTGATTCACACACTGATGGATTTGCTGATTGTGTTTTTACCAGCGCTTGCACTACACTCACGTCAGGTGCAGACTGAACACTGTCCTGCTGGTGGGGATGGCTAATTAGCACGATCAATTCTTAAAGAAATAAAAGCTATTGAGAGCAGTCTGTGCAACCTAGATTAATCTATGTCTGAGGATTATAACAAAACAAATTTGGTGAAAATCCGTTGAGTAATAAGGAAGTTGTGGCTGATTTAACTCTGAGAACTCATCATCTCTCAATACAAGTGAATTTGTTCACAAGCAGATCTTGACCGCTCCAACATGACGGACGTATCGCCTCACGTAGAGAACAACAGGCAACGCAGCATCTAGGTGTGTATATCTATGCCTGAGACGCACTACCACTGCCCACACACAGCCCTTCAGAATAAGAGTCCCTGTCAAAGGAGGAATAACAAATGAACAAAGCAGCCTAAAATCAACATGTCATTTTTAACAAAACAGAGCAGACGTGCCTAACACTACATATTAATAGAATCAAATGATGCTTGTGAGAAACACAAACACATTACTACTCTTAAAACCAAAAAGGTTTACTGCAAATAAGTAAGCAGCAAACTAAGTATTTAAGCTACTTTACAACAAATTCAGAAGTAACAATATCTGCAAATCCGTTTTGTTTCACCACAGATAACAGCTGCATGTTTTACTCGTTAGTCTAAAAAGACATGAGGCACGAAAATACAGACTAGCAAACACTCACAACACTCAGACAACCAGGCAATACCATGTGTACACATTATATCTGTGATGTAAATTGTGTATATAATCCAGTATGCATATGCATAACTCACTTGTAAAAGTAAGAAAAATGCTTTCATGCTGGACATTTGTTTTATTTATTTCAATGATTTTCATGCGCTTTTCTTAAACAGTGTCATAGAGATATTCACTCAAGACTCTATGGCTGCTTGACATATAGCAATTATTGCAATTACTGCCACTTTCTGGCGAACAAAAATAGCTGTAATTTCCAGCTGCGGAAACGGTTGAAGAGTTTCATTCCAAAATGCTGTGCGTCCATTACTAAAAAAATTAAATATAACAAATGTTTAAAAAGAATAACAGTATAATGCGAAACACATTTTTTATTTTTCTAAAGGTGGTATATATTTTATAATAATGGTGGCATATATTAAGATAATTCACAGTTTTAAATAAATCACATGCCTATTTTCAGTAAATAAACACAACAGTTTACATTTATGTTGTAACAGTATGACATTGCAGTGTGACTTAGGTAATCATAAATTGCATGAATGGGATGAAACTAACAGAGCTTCTACCAGTATGCCAATATGTACTAAATTATTATTAATTTTTTTCAATTTTAACAAAATGTCCAGTCTCTGCTGAGGAAGAACAACCCCATGACACAATGCTGCCACAACCATGCTTCACCGTTGGGATGGTGTTTGTTGAGGAATGGGCAGTGTTAGGTTTGTGACACACGTAAAATTGAGTTTTGTCCAAAAAGCAAAATTTTGTTTTATCTGTCCATAAAACCTTAACCAACATTTTAATTGGGTCACTCTGATTCTTTGGCCTCTCTGTGGCTTCCCTCACAAGGCCTCTTCTTGCTCTAATGTTATATTTTGAAGGACAGCTTTATCTAGACAATGTCTTGGTGGTATGAGCTTCCATTTCCTCACAGTTGATCCAACCTTGCTCACTGGGATAACACTAGGATATTATTCTGTAGCCCTTTCCTGTTTTGTGCATGACTTTAACTTTATCTCTAATGTCTTTGGACATCATTTTCACAGCTTTCCTTCAGATTCATAGACTGACCTATGGTACCTGAATTAACAAAGTATGTAGTAAAACAGATGGACTATAGTCTGTAGTTGTTAAACTACAAATTGCTCCTATATGCTAAGTGGAACTAATATAATGGACATTCAGTGTAGATACAAGGAGGTGCTCCTAATAAATTGCTCAGTGAGTGTATGCATATATACACATCAATATATACACACCTCCTTGCAACTACACTTATTGTCAATTTTATCAGATCCATTAACTACAAAGAAGCACATTGTAGTTCCACAGTTACAGACTGTAGTCCATCTGTTTCTCTGCACACTTTGTTGGCCCCCTTTTACTCTGTTCTTCAATGATCAGAATCCCCACAGGACCACTACATAACAGGTCTTATTTGGGTGGTGGATTATTCTCAACACTGAAATGACACTGCTGTGGTGGTGGCGTATTAGTGTGTATTCTGGGACTTTGAGTGGATTAGACACAGCAGTGCTGCTGGAGTTTTTAAACACTTAAGTGTCTCTGTTGGACTGAGCATAGTTCACCAATAAAAATATCCAGCCTCCACCGTCCTGTGGGCAGCGTCCACTGATGAAGGACAAGAGGATGATCAACGCAAACTGTGCAACTACAGATGCTATAGTCTCTGACTTGTCATCTGCAAGGTGGACCAACAAGCTAGGTTTGTCCAATAGAGTAAGTGAACACAGTGTTTTGTAAACTCCAGTTACACTGCTGTTTCTGATCTACTTGTACCTGCACAACACACACTAACACGCCAACACCACACCAATGTCACTGTACTCAACACGTGTGGTTCGAGGCAAATGTGTGATGAAGTTTGCACACATCAGACACCAAATACGTCTTGGCCAATTGACAACATCATTTTAAGCTATGCTTGCTATGAAATGGAGCAGTTTTATGTACAAGGAAGAGCAAGTGTGTGAGTAAAAAATGATTGGACTGCCCACTTGTGGCTTTGCATTGCGATATATAAGGCATTCAGATTGCAGTTCGATGCCCTGCCCAGACAAACATGCCACAATGTACGCTATAAGAATCGGTGGCCAAGATTATTAACAGTACATGTAGTTAAATCGTAAAATCAAGAGGAAAATAATCAAAGTAAATCTTTCTTGTAATTTCATCAATGCAAATTTGCAACATAATTGCAAACTTTCACAGAAATGAGAGATGGTTTTCTGTATTTGTCTTGAAGACTTGAATTGGTCACAGAATTCACTGCTATGTTATTTTAATCTCCCTTTTGACACATATGTTAATAAGAGGCAAAAGTACAGCCTCCACATGGCAGGGTTAGTTTTAACACAATGTTAACATGACCTCCCAAACGGTAATGGTACAAAGTTTATGTTTTCATTTGTGTAGAGTTGTGTAGATTGCTTTTATAAAAATGATTGAGAGACAGTTACTGAAGTTTCTACACTTTAGATGCGATGTAATGATTTAGCAGCCGCAACAGGGCTAATAGTTGCATATTTGTTCACAGAAGCACACTGCTATGAAAATTCATGAACTGTTAAAATAAGGGCTGGTAGTGAGTTTGTCAGCATTTCTAATCTACCTGTACCTTCATTTGGTCACATTTTTATATAGTAAAATAAAATATTTCTGCCTGATAATTCCTACTCGTTTTCCCTGCTTCACCACAAGTGACCCAATTAGTTCTCTGTCACTCTGTTCTGAAATGGACAGGGCAACCACAGAGCAGGTGTTATTTGCATTCTCAGCACTGCAGTGACACTGACGTGGTGGTGGTGTGTAAGTGTGTGTTGTGCTAGTATGAGGGGACACAGCAGTATACTGTATCATTAACTCTGCAAAACAATGCCATATACACCTGTCATATAAAGAGAAGAGGGGTAAAATTTCAATCTAATCAAGACAATTTCTCCTAATAATTGCTGTGGCACAGGGCTTCTGTAAAATAAAACACTCTAAACCATCCAGTTCAACTCAGGAAGAGCCTATTTATTTACTGATTAGTTTCTTCTAATGTCAGTCACAGTTTAACTGTAGAAAGCAAGGCATAACTGCTTCTGTCTTTTTTTTTAACACTAAGAATTTGTAAAATAAATAATTTGTCACTGCTGTTCATGAAGAAAGTATTAGAAAATAAGGTTTATTTCTCTCTTTCCTCAGACCCACCTCAGCCAAAAGTAATTCTGAGTGTAGGATGGAACCATATGTTTACTGGTGAAAAAGTGACTCTGATTTGCGAAATTCCAGACACATCCACAGGCTGGAAATATACATGGCTCAGAAATTCACTAAAGATTCCAGATGATGTTGATACTAAGAAAACTGGTAATAGCCTCTCAATCCTTTCTACAAAACAGAAACACCATGGAAATTACACCTGTGAAACAGAGCTTCAAGACAGACCCCTGTCAAGATTATTGAGCTCAAAATTTGCATTGTCTGTTCAAGGTAAGATCTCATCAAGAAAATCTCCGCTAAAAAGTGCTGTGGCACAGGGCTTCTGTAAAATGATACAAAATAATCTATATTTCTTGGAATGTAATGTATTCAATCCTGGTGGTAACCTCTAGTCCCTTCTAAGTATCATCAGATTTGGCTACTGTGTGTTTGCTTGCCAAGCCATCATTCAATTATGTTGATGAGCTTAAGCCAAGGTCAGAATTTCCACTCCAACCTGTGCTTGGAGCACTAGTGTGCAAGCTACACATTCAAGCTAAAAAATCTGTTTTCAAAGGTTAAATAAAAGTAATCAAATTCAAGGGCAAGTTTAGTTGAGCCATTAAAAAAAACATACTATAAACTTACTGAAATGTTTTATCATAATACTTGCATATTTTAAAACTCTGATTACAAATGTGAATCTATAATGTTTAGGCATTGAAATGTTAAATAATCACATTAGAACATGGCATTTAACCCTTTCATGCATGATGTCCATGCATGTGAACAGTTAATAATTGTTAATTTTAAGGTATTTGCCATCTGTTGTTTCCTCCAAACCACTTGCTGCTAGAGTCATATTTAAGGAATAGAACACGAGAGGGAGTGTGTTATCGCGAAATAACATCATGGCTGTGATTTGGTCGCAGATCCGTAGATCATCACAGCCATGATGTTATTCACTGCACAGCCAGCAGTTCGTTCTCCAGCTCCTTACACAGACCAACTGACAGTTGAGTGGAATTTAGTGTAGTCTCATCTTCAGAGTCTGACCAAATCGGCTGTAGGTCAAATATGATCTTAAAAGTGTCCATTTTCTGTTTGTGCACAAAGTAAGAAGTAAAAACGTTCAAATGGCTTGAGCGTCTCCTACAGCTGTCAAAGTCGTTGCTTAGCAACAGCATCTCAGCGGTGTGATACTGTGTTTGTGAAAAACCTGTGATGTTAAGACGAAATAACAGCACAGTTAGAACACTTCTCAACCAATCAGCTTGCGTAGCCGGAACTAACTGTTGTATAATGAGTCATATAGAGTCCTATTGCTACAATATGCCAAAAGACATTTTCCTGAATTCTCTTGTATGTGGACATCGTGCAACACTGGCTCTTAATTGAAAAATGTGCCATTTGTACATGTCATAGATTTTTTAAATTTTATATATGGATAATAGTTGTACATTTGTGAAAACAATATTTGTTGCAGTTAACATTTTCATAATTTGAAAATCAAATTAAAAAATATAAAATATATATTTTACATATTTTATATATATATTTTAAAAATCTTTTACCAGCCTAGAAGTGCTGTCACCAAGAAAGCCATTAGATGCCATTATGATTTGTGCAAACGGTGTCCAGTGTCAGGTTTCCCTCTGTCCAGACAGTTTTGAGGGATTTCACAGCAAGAAATAAGAGTAGAATAACTTGTTGATATAACTTGTTAAATAACTTGAATAATATGTCTTGTTACCACTGTCTACCTGTATCTATCACAGGACTTAGAGCTAAAATTCAGCCTGAACAGCTTTATTAATTTTTGTGTTAGTTGTTCTATTGTTAAGTGTTGCTGGTTTCAAGATTTTTTTAACAGACCAGAATTTACCTTTTACCTTTCATAGTCATGAGCTTTTGTGAACTTTTACAAATATACAACTGTGTGCCCTGTTGTGGCTGCTGAATCATTACACCTCATCTAAAGCGAGAGTGTAGAAACCTCAGTAACTGTCTCTCAATAATTTTATAAAATCAACCTACACAACTCTGCTACAAATGAAAAAATAAGCTTTGTACTGAGGCCTTACCATTACCGTTTGGGAGGTCATGTTAACCACATCTTAAAACAAACCCTGCCATGTGGAGGCTGTACTTATGCCTAGCTAGCTCTAACCTCAAGTTATTTTTACCTATGTGTGAAGACAGTGCTACGTTACATCCACTAAAAGAGAGATGAAAGTAAAATAGGAGTGAATTCTGTGACCAATTTAAGTCTTTAAGAGAATTTCTGTGAAAATTTGCAACAATGGAAATACAAAATGTTTATTTTATTTTTTTTCCTCTTGATGTTACTGTGAACTACGTACTATATACGCATTTCTTTGTCTGTAGGACCTGTTTTGTAGGGGGTAGGTTTGTAGTTTCATGTTACCTGATGCGATAGCTTTGTTTTTTGTTGGAAGACGTTTAATAGAGTCAGTTCCTTTTGGTTTATTACTAGCTCTCTTACACAGGTGCAACATTTTTTTCCATCATATATTCCTGCAGTGGGGAAAGTCATCCCAAAACACAACTCAGACCAAATTTACATTTTAAAATTACATCTATGCATTAGGCAGACACTTTTATTCAGAGTGAGTTTACAGTTATATAACAGCAGCACAGTCATGTTATAGTAGTAGGAAATGGTATTGTTAGAAATCTTGGCCACTGATACTTATTGCATCACCTATTGTGGCATGCTTGTCTGGACAGAGCATCGAAATGCAATCTGAATGTCTTGTACATTCTTGTACACAAGGGGGCAGTCCAATTATTTTTACACACTTGCTCTCCCTTGTGCATAAGAGTGCTCTCTTTCATAGCAAGCATAGCTTAAAATGATGTTGTCAATCGACCAAGATATGTTTGGTGTCTGAAGTGTGCAAACTTCATCACACATTTGCCTCGAGCCACACATTTGTTGAGTGGAGTGACAGTGACACTGGTGTGGTGTTGGCGTGTTAGTGTGTGTTGTGCTGGTACAAGTAGATCAGACACAGCAGTGTAACTGGAGTTTATAAACACTGTGTCCACTTATTCAATTGGACAAACCTAGCTTGTTGGTTCCACTTTGTAGATGAAAAGTCAGAGACAATAGCAGCTGATGCTACACAGTTTGTGTTGGTCATCCTCTTGTCCTTCATCAGTGGATGCTGCCCACAGGATGCTTTTGGCTGGATATAGTTGGTTGGTGGATTATGCTCAGTCCAACAGTGACACTGAAGTGTTTAAAAACTCCAGCAGCACCGCTGTGTCTGATCCACTCATAGCCCCACAATACACACTAATACACCACCACCATGGCAGTGGAGTATGCATAAGAAAGTATGCAGAAAAACAGATGGACTACAGTCTGTAACTCTAGAACAACAAAGTGCTCCTATATTGTTACTGGATCTGATAAAATTGACAATGAGTGTAGATACATGGAGGTATATATGTTGGTGTGTTTATATACACTTACTGAGGACTTAGGAACACCTCCTTGTATCTACACTCACTGTTGATCAGCACCACTTAGCATATAGGTGCACTTTGTAGTTCAACAATTACAGACTGTAGTCCGTCTCTTTCTCTGCATACTTTGTTAGCCCTCTTTCACTCTTTTTTCAGTGGTGAGGACCCCCCACACGATCACCACAGAGCAGGTATTATTTGGGTGGTGGATCATTCTCAGCACTGCAGTGTCAGTGTGTGTTGGGAGTATGAGTGGATCAGATACAGCAGTATACTATATAATGAACTATGCTAAACAATGGCAAATTTACCTGTCATGTAAAGAGAGTATTAATCTAGTGTCAGTCACAGGTCAACTGTAGAACGTAAGATATAACTGCTTCTGTCTTTTCTTTATCTTAACATTAAGGATTTGTAAAGTAAATGATTAGTTGCTATTATTAATGAAGAAGGTGCTATAAAATAAAGTTTCATTTCTCTCTTTCCACAGACCCACCTCAGCCAAAAGTAATTCTGAGTGTAGGGTGGAGCCGTGTGTTTACTGGTGAAAAAGTGACTTTGATTTGCAAAGTTCCGAACACACCCACAAGCTGGAAATATACATGGCTCAGAAATTCACTGAAGATTTCAGATGATGTTGATACAAGCAACACTGGTAATAGCCTCTCAATCCTTTCTGCGAAACAGAGACACCATGGAAATTACACCTGTGAAACAGAGCTTCAAGACAGACCCCTGTCAAAAGCCTTAAGCACAAAATTTGCATTGTCTGTTCAAGGTAAGATCTCATCAAGAAAATCTCTGATAAAAAAGTGCTGTGGCACAGGGCTTCTGTAAAATGAAACATCTATATTTCTTGGAATGTGATGTTTTCAATCCTGGTGGTAACCTCTGGTCCTTTTTAAGTATCATCAGATTTGGCTACTGGTCAGAATTTCCACTCCAATCTATGTTTGGAGCACTAGTAACTACACATTCAAGCTGAAAAATCTTTTACCAGCCTAGAAGTGCTGTCACCAAGAAAGCCATGAGATGCCATTATGATTTGTGCAAACGGTGTCCAGTGTCAGGTTTCCCTCTGTCCAGACAGTTTTGAGGGATTTCACAGCAAGAAATAAGAGTAGGATAACTTGTTGATATAACTTGTTAAATAACTTGAATAATATGTCTTGTTACCACTGTCTACCTGTATCTATCACAGGACTTAGAGCTAAAATTCAGCCTGAACAGCTTTATTAATTTTTGTGTTAACTGTTCTATTGTTAAGTGTTGCTGGTTTCAAGATTTTTTTAACAGACCAGAATTTACCTTTTACCTTTCATAGTCAAGTGCTTTTGTGAACTTTTGAGGTGCAAACTTCATCACACATTTGCCTCGAGCCACACATTTGTTGAGTGGAGTGACAGTGACACTGGTGTGGTGTTGGCGTGTTAGTGTGTGTTGTGCTGGTACAAGTAGATCAGACACAGCAGTGTAACTGGAGTTTATAAACACTGTGTCCACTTACTCTATTGGACAAACCTAGCTTGTTGGTTCCACTTTGTAGATGAAAAGTCAGAGACAATAGCAGCTGATGCTACACAGTTTGTTTTGGTCATCCTCTTGTCCTTCATCAGTGGATGCTGCCCACAGGATGCTTTTGGCTGGATATAGTTGGTTGGTGGACTATGCTCAGTCCAACAGTGACACTGAAGTGTTTAAAAACTCCAGCAGCACTGCTGTGTCTGATCCACTCATAGCCCCACAATACACACTAATACACCACCACCATGGCAGTGGAGTATGCATAAGAAAGTATGCAGAAAAACAGATGGACTACAGTCTGTAACTCTAGAACAACAAAGTGCTCCTATATTGTTACTGGATCTGATAAAATTGACAATGAGTGTAGATACATGGAGGTATATATGTTGGTGTGTTTATATACACTTACTGAGGACTTAGGAACACCTCCTTGTATCTACACTCACTGTTGATTATATCAGCACCACTTAGCATATAGGTGCACTTTGTAGTTCAACAATTACAGACTGTAGTCCATCTCTTTCTCTGCATACTTGGTTAGCCCTCTTTCACTCTTTTTTCAGTGGTGAGGACCCCCCACACGATCACCACAGAGCAGGTATTATTTGGGTGGTGGATCATTCTCAGCACTGCAGTGTCAGTGTGTGTTGGGAGTATGAGTGGATCAGATACAGCAGTATACTATATAATGAACTATGCTAAACAATGGCAAATTTACCTGTCATGTAAAGAGAGTATTAATCTAGTGTCAGTCACAGGTCAACTGTAGAACGTAAGATATAACTGCTTCTGTCTTTTCTTTATCTTAACATTAAGGATTTGTAAAGTAAATGATTAGTTGCTATTATTAATGAAGAAGGTGCTATAAAATAAAGTTTCATTTCTCTCTTTCCACAGACCCACCTCAGCCAAAAGTAATTCTGAGTGTAGGGTGGAGCCGTGTGTTTACTGGTGAAAAAGTGACTTTGATTTGCAAAGTTCCGGACACACCCACAAGCTGGAAATATACATGGCTCAGAAATTCACTGAAGATTTCAGATGATGTTGATACAAGCAACACTGGTAATAGCCTCTCAATCCTTTCTGCGAAACAGAGACACCATGGAAATTACACCTGTGAAACAGAGCTTCAAGACAGACCCCTGTCAAAAGCCTTAAGCACAAAATTTGCATTGTCTGTTCAAGGTAAGATCTCATCAAGAAAATCTCTGATAAAAAGTGCTGTGGCACAGGGCTTCTGTAAAATGAAACATCTATATTTCTTGGAATGTGATGTTTTCAATCCTGGTGGTAACCTCTGGTCCTTTTTAAGTATCATCAGATTTGGCTACTGGTCAGAATTTCCACTCCAATCTATGTTTGGAGCACTAGTAACTACACATTCAAGCTGAAAAATCTTTTACCAGCCTAGAAGTGCTGTCACCAAGAAAGCCATGAGATGCCATTATGATTTGTGCAAACGGTGTCCAGTGTCAGGTTTCCCTCTGTCCAGACAGTTTTGAGGGATTTCACAGCAAGAAATAAGAGTAGGATAACTTGTTGATATAACTTGTTAAATAACTTGAATAAAATGTCTTGTTACCACTGTCTACCTGTATCTATCACAGGACTTAGAGCTAAAATTCAGCCTGAACAGCTTTATTAATTTTTGTGTTAACTGTTCTATTGTTAAGTGTTGCTGGTTTCAAGATTTTTTTAACAGACCAGAATTTACCTTTTACCTTTCATAGTCAAGTGCTTTTGTGAACTTTTGAGGTGCAAACTTCATCACACATTTGCCTCGAGCCACACATTTGTTGAGTGGAGTGACAGTGACACTGGTGTGGTGTTGGCGTGTTAGTGTGTGTTGTGCTGGTACAAGTAGATCAGACACAGCAGTGTAACTGGAGTTTATAAACACTGTGTCCACTTACTCTATTGGACAAACCTAGCTTGTTGGTTCCACTTTGTAGATGAAAAGTCAGAGACAATAGCAGCTGATGCTACACAGTTTGTTTTGGTCATCCTCTTGTCCTTCATCAGTGGATGCTGCCCACAGGATGCTTTTGGCTGGATATAGTTGGTTGGTGGACTATGCTCAGTCCAACAGTGACACTGAAGTGTTTAAAAACTCCAGCAGCACTGCTGTGTCTGATCCACTCATAGCCCCACAATACACACTAATACACCACCACCATGGCAGTGGAGTATGCATAAGAAAGTATGCAGAAAAACAGATGGACTACAGTCTGTAACTCTAGAACAACAAAGTGCTCCTATATTGTTACTGGATCTGATAAAATTGACAATGAGTGTAGATACATGGAGGTATATATGTTGGTGTGTTTATATACACTTACTGAGGACTTAGGAACACCTCCTTGTATCTACACTCACTGTTGATTATATCAGCACCACTTAGCATATAGGTGCACTTTGTAGTTCAACAATTACAGACTGTAGTCCATCTCTTTCTCTGCATACTTGGTTAGCCCTCTTTCACTCTTTTTTCAGTGGTGAGGACCCCCCACACGATCACCACAGAGCAGGTATTATTTGGGTGGTGGATCATTCTCAGCACTGCAGTGTCAGTGTGTGTTGGGAGTATGAGTGGATCAGATACAGCAGTATACTATATAATGAACTATGCTAAACAATGGCAAATTTACCTGTCATGTAAAGAGAGTATTAATCTAGTGTCAGTCACAGGTCAACTGTAGAACGTAAGATATAACTGCTTCTGTCTTTTCTTTATCTTAACATTAAGGATTTGTAAAGTAAATGATTAGTTGCTATTATTAATGAAGAAGGTGCTATAAAATAAAGTTTCATTTCTCTCTTTCCACAGACCCACCTCAGCCAAAAGTAATTCTGAGTGTAGGGTGGAGCCGTGTGTTTACTGGTGAAAAAGTGACTTTGATTTGCAAAGTTCCGGACACACCCACAAGCTGGAAATATACATGGCTCAGAAATTCACTGAAGATTTCAGATGATGTTGATACAAGCAACACTGGTAATAGCCTCTCAATCCTTTCTGCGAAACAGAGACACCATGGAAATTACACCTGTGAAACAGAGCTTCAAGACAGACCCCTGTCAAAAGCCTTAAGCACAAAATTTGCATTGTCTGTTCAAGGTAAGATCTCATCAAGAAAATCTCTGATAAAAAGTGCTGTGGCACAGGGCTTCTGTAAAATGAAACATCTATATTTCTTGGAATGTGATGTTTTCAATCCTGGTGGTAACCTCTGGTCCTTTTTAAGTATCATCAGATTTGGCTACTGGTCAGAATTTCCACTCCAATCTATGTTTGGAGCACTAGTAACTACACATTCAAGCTGAAAAATCTTTTACCAGCCTAGAAGTGCTGTCACCAAGAAAGCCATGAGATGCCATTATGATTTGTGCAAATGGTGTCCAGTGTCAGGTTTCCCTCTGTCCAGACAGTTTTGAGGGATTTCACAGCAAGAAATAAGAGTAGGATAACTTGTTGATATAACTTGTTAAATAACTTGAATAAAATGTCTTGTTACCACTGTCTACCTGTATCTATCACAGGACTTAGAGCTAAAATTCAGCCTGAACAGCTTTATTAATTTTTGTGTTAACTGTTCTATTGTTAAGTGTTGCTGGTTTCAAGATTTTTTTAACAGACCAGAATTTACCTTTTACCTTTCATAGTCAAGTGCTTTTGTGAACTTTTGAGGTGCAAACTTCATCACACATTTGCCTCGAGCCACACATTTGTTGAGTGGAGTGACAGTGACACTGGTGTGGTGTTGGCGTGTTAGTGTGTGTTGTGCTGGTACAAGTAGATCAGACACAGCAGTGTAACTGGAGTTTATAAACACTGTGTCCACTTACTCTATTGGACAAACCTAGCTTGTTGGTTCCACTTTGTAGATGAAAAGTCAGAGACAATAGCAGCTGATGCTACACAGTTTGTTTTGGTCATCCTCTTGTCCTTCATCAGTGGATGCTGCCCACAGGATGCTTTTGGCTAGATATAGTTGGTTGGTGGACTATGCTCAGTCCAACAGTGACACTGAAGTGTTTAAAAACTCCAGCAGCACTGCTGTGTCTGATCCACTCATAGCCCCACAATACACACTAATACACCACCACCATGGCAGTGGAGTATGCATAAGAAAGTATGCAGAAAAACAGATGGACTACAGTCTGTAACTCTAGAACAACAAAGTGCTCCTATATTGTTACTGGATCTGATAAAATTGACAATGAGTGTAGATACATGGAGGTATATATGTTGGTGTGTTTATATACACTTACTGAGGACTTAGGAACACCTCCTTGTATCTACACTCACTGTTGATTATATCAGCACCACTTAGCATATAGGTGCACTTTGTAGTTCAACAATTACAGACTGTAGTCCATCTCTTTCTCTGCATACTTGGTTAGCCCTCTTTCACTCTTTTTTCAGTGGTGAGGACCCCCCACACGATCACCACAGAGCAGGTATTATTTGGGTGGTGGATCATTCTCAGCACTGCAGTGTCAGTGTGTGTTGGGAGTATGAGTGGATCAGATACAGCAGTATACTATATAATGAACTATGCTAAACAATGGCAAATTTACCTGTCATGTAAAGAGAGTATTAATCTAGTGTCAGTCACAGGTCAACTGTAGAACGTAAGATATAACTGCTTCTGTCTTTTCTTTATCTTAACATTAAGGATTTGTAAAGTAAATGATTAGTTGCTATTATTAATGAAGAAGGTGCTATAAAATAAAGTTTCATTTCTCTCTTTCCACAGACCCACCTCAGCCAAAAGTAATTCTGAGTGTAGGGTGGAGCCGTGTGTTTACTGGTGAAAAAGTGACTTTGATTTGCAAAGTTCCGGACACACCCACAAGCTGGAAATATACATGGCTCAGAAATTCACTGAAGATTTCAGATGATGTTGATACAAGCAACACTGGTAATAGCCTCTCAATCCTTTCTGCGAAACAGAGACACCATGGAAATTACACCTGTGAAACAGAGCTTCAAGACAGACCCCTGTCAAAAGCCTTAAGCACAAAATTTGCATTGTCTGTTCAAGGTAAGATCTCATCAAGAAAATCTCTGATAAAAAGTGCTGTGGCACAGGGCTTCTGTAAAATGAAACATCTATATTTCTTGGAATGTGATGTTTTCAATCCTGGTGGTAACCTCTGGTCCTTTTTAAGTATCATCAGATTTGGCTACTGGTCAGAATTTCCACTCCAATCTATGTTTGGAGCACTAGTAACTACACATTCAAGCTGAAAAATCTTTTACCAGCCTAGAAGTGCTGTCACCAAGAAAGCCATGAGATGCCATTATGATTTGTGCAAACGGTGTCCAGTGTCAGGTTTCCCTCTGTCCAGACAGTTTTGAGGGATTTCACAGCAAGAAATAAGAGTAGGATAACTTGTTGATATAACTTGTTAAATAACTTGAATAAAATGTCTTGTTACCACTGTCTACCTGTATCTATCACAGGACTTAGAGCTAAAATTCAGCCTGAACAGCTTTATTAATTTTTGTGTTAACTGTTCTATTGTTAAGTGTTGCTGGTTTCAAGATTTTTTTAACAGACCAGAATTTACCTTTTACCTTTCATAGTCAAGTGCTTTTGTGAACTTTTGAGGTGCAAACTTCATCACACATTTGCCTCGAGCCACACATTTGTTGAGTGGAGTGACAGTGACACTGGTGTGGTGTTGGCGTGTTAGTGTGTGTTGTGCTGGTACAAGTAGATCAGACACAGCAGTGTAACTGGAGTTTATAAACACTGTGTCCACTTACTCTATTGGACAAACCTAGCTTGTTGGTTCCACTTTGTAGATGAAAAGTCAGAGACAATAGCAGCTGATGCTACACAGTTTGTTTTGGTCATCCTCTTGTCCTTCATCAGTGGATGCTGCCCACAGGATGCTTTTGGCTGGATATAGTTGGTTGGTGGACTATGCTCAGTCCAACAGTGACACTGAAGTGTTTAAAAACTCCAGCAGCACTGCTGTGTCTGATCCACTCATAGCCCCACAATACACACTAATACACCACCACCATGGCAGTGGAGTATGCATAAGAAAGTATGCAGAAAAACAGATGGACTACAGTCTGTAACTCTAGAACAACAAAGTGCTCCTATATTGTTACTGGATCTGATAAAATTGACAATGAGTGTAGATACATGGAGGTATATATGTTGGTGTGTTTATATACACTTACTGAGGACTTAGGAACACCTCCTTGTATCTACACTCACTGTTGATTATATCAGCACCACTTAGCATATAGGTGCACTTTGTAGTTCAACAATTACAGACTGTAGTCCGTCTCTTTCTCTGCATACTTTGTTAGCCCTCTTTCACTCTTTTTTCAGTGGTGAGGACCCCCCACACGATCACCACAGAGCAGGTATTATTTGGGTGGTGGATCATTCTCAGCACTGCAGTGTCAGTGTGTGTTGGGAGTATGAGTGGATCAGATACAGCAGTATACTATATAATGAACTATGCTAAACAATGGCAAATTTACCTGTCATGTAAAGAGAGTATTAATCTAGTGTCGGTCACAGGTCAACTGTAGAACGTAAGATATAACTGCTTCTGTCTTTTCTTTATCTTAACATTAAGGATTTGTAAAGTAAATGATTAGTTGCTATTATTAATGAAGAAGGTGCTATAAAATAAAGTTTCATTTCTCTCTTTCCACAGACCCACCTCAGCCAAAAGTAATTCTGAGTGTAGGGTGGAGCCGTGTGTTTACTGGTGAAAAAGTGACTTTGATTTGCAAAGTTCCGGACACACCCACAAGCTGGAAATATACATGGCTCAGAAATTCACTGAAGATTTCAGATGATGTTGATACAAGCAACACTGGTAATAGCCTCTCAATCCTTTCTGCGAAACAGAGACACCATGGAAATTACACCTGTGAAACAGAGCTTCAAGACAGACCCCTGTCAAAAGCCTTAAGCACAAAATTTGCATTGTCTGTTCAAGGTAAGATCTCATCAAGAAAATCTCTGATAAAAAGTGCTGTGGCACAGGGCTTCTGTAAAATGAAACATCTATATTTCTTGGAATGTGATGTTTTCAATCCTGGTGGTAACCTCTGGTCCTTTTTAAGTATCATCAGATTTGGCTACTGGTCAGAATTTCCACTCCAATCTATGTTTGGAGCACTAGTAACTACACATTCAAGCTGAAAAATCTTTTACCAGCCTAGAAGTGCTGTCACCAAGAAAGCCATGAGATGCCATTATGATTTGTGCAAACGGTGTCCAGTGTCAGGTTTCCCTCTGTCCAGACAGTTTTGAGGGATTTCACAGCAAGAAATAAGAGTAGGATAACTTGTTGATATAACTTGTTAAATAACTTGAATAAAATGTCTTGTTACCACTGTCTACCTGTATCTATCACAGGACTTAGAGCTAAAATTCAGCCTGAACAGCTTTATTAATTTTTGTGTTAACTGTTCTATTGTTAAGTGTTGCTGGTTTCAAGATTTTTTTAACAGACCAGAATTTACCTTTTACCTTTCATAGTCAAGTGCTTTTGTGAACTTTTGAGGTGCAAACTTCATCACACATTTGCCTCGAGCCACACATTTGTTGAGTGGAGTGACAGTGACACTGGTGTGGTGTTGGCGTGTTAGTGTGTGTTGTGCTGGTACAAGTAGATCAGACACAGCAGTGTAACTGGAGTTTATAAACACTGTGTCCACTTACTCTATTGGACAAACCTAGCTTGTTGGTTCCACTTTGTAGATGAAAAGTCAGAGACAATAGCAGCTGATGCTACACAGTTTGTTTTGGTCATCCTCTTGTCCTTCATCAGTGGATGCTGCCCACAGGATGCTTTTGGCTGGATATAGTTGGTTGGTGGACTATGCTCAGTCCAACAGTGACACTGAAGTGTTTAAAAACTCCAGCAGCACTGCTGTGTCTGATCCACTCATAGCCCCACAATACACACTAATACACCACCACCATGGCAGTGGAGTATGCATAAGAAAGTATGCAGAAAAACAGATGGACTACAGTCTGTAACTCTAGAACAACAAAGTGCTCCTATATTGTTACTGGATCTGATAAAATTGACAATGAGTGTAGATCCATGGAGGTATATATGTTGGTGTGTTTATATACACTTACTGAGGACTTAGGAACACCTCCTTGTATCTACACTCACTGTTGATTATATCAGCACCACTTAGCATATAGGTGCACTTTGTAGTTCAACAATTACAGACTGTAGTCCATCTCTTTCTCTGCATACTTGGTTAGCCCTCTTTCACTCTTTTTTCAGTGGTGAGGACCCCCCACACGATCACCACAGAGCAGGTATTATTTGGGTGGTGGATCATTCTCAGCACTGCAGTGTCAGTGTGTGTTGGGAGTATGAGTGGATCAGATACAGCAGTATACTATATAATGAACTATGCTAAACAATGGCAAATTTACCTGTCATGTAAAGAGAGTATTAATCTAGTGTCAGTCACAGGTCAACTGTAGAACGTAAGATATAACTGCTTCTGTCTTTTCTTTATCTTAACATTAAGGATTTGTAAAGTAAATGATTAGTTGCTATTATTAATGAAGAAGGTGCTATAAAATAAAGTTTCATTTCTCTCTTTCCACAGACCCACCTCAGCCAAAAGTAATTCTGAGTGTAGGGTGGAGCCGTGTGTTTACTGGTGAAAAAGTGACTTTGATTTGCAAAGTTCCGGACACACCCACAAGCTGGAAATATACATGGCTCAGAAATTCACTGAAGATTTCAGATGATGTTGATACAAGCAACACTGGTAATAGCCTCTCAATCCTTTCTGCGAAACAGAGACACCATGGAAATTACACCTGTGAAACAGAGCTTCAAGACAGACCCCTGTCAAAAGCCTTAAGCACAAAATTTGCATTGTCTGTTCAAGGTAAGATCTCATCAAGAAAATCTCTGATAAAAAGTGCTGTGGCACAGGGCTTCTGTAAAATGAAACATCTATATTTCTTGGAATGTGATGTTTTCAATCCTGGTGGTAACCTCTGGTCCTTTTTAAGTATCATCAGATTTGGCTACTGGTCAGAATTTCCACTCCAATCTATGTTTGGAGCACTAGTAACTACACATTCAAGCTGAAAAATCTTTTACCAGCCTAGAAGTACTGTCACCAAGAAAGCCATGAGATGCCATTATGATTTGTGCAAACGGTGTCCAGTGTCAGGTTTCCCTCTGTCCAGACAGTTTTGAGGGATTTCACAGTAAGAAATAAGAGTAGGATAACTTGTTGATATAACTTGTTAAATAACTTGAATAATATGTCTTGTTACCACTGTCTACCTGTATCTATCACAGGACTTAGAGCTAAAATTCAGCCTGAACAGCTTTATTAATTTTTGTGTTAACTGTTCTATTGTTAAGTGTTGCTGGTTTCAAGATTTTTTTAACAGACCAGAATTTACCTTTTACCTTTCATAGTCAAGTGCTTTTGTGAACTTTTGAGGTGCAAACTTCATCACACATTTGCCTCGAGCCACACGTTTGTTGAGTGGAGTGACAGTGACACTGGTGTGGTGTTGGCGTGTTAGTGTGTGTTGTGCTGGTACAAGTAGATCAGACACAGCAGTGTAACTGGAGTTTATAAACACTGTGTTCACTTACTCTATTGGACAAACCTAGCTTGTTGGTTCCACTTTGTAGATGAAAAGTCAGAGACAATAGCAGCTGATGCTACACAGTTTGTTTTGGTCATCCTCTTGTCCTTCATCAGTGGATGCTGCCCACAGGATGCTTTTGGCTAGATATAGTTGGTTGGTGGACTATGCTCAGTCCAACAGTGACACTGAAGTGTTTAAAAACTCCAGCAGCACTGCTGTGTCTGATCCACTCATAGCCCCACAATACACACTAATACACCACCACCATGGCAGTGGAGTATGCATAAGAAAGTATGCAGAAAAACAGATGGACTACAGTCTGTAACTCTAGAACAACAAAGTGCTCCTATATTGTTACTGGATCTGATAAAATTGACAATGAGTGTAGATACATGGAGGTATATATGTTGGTGTGTTTATATACACTTACTGAGGACTTAGGAACACCTCCTTGTATCTACACTCACTGTTGATTATATCAGCACCACTTAGCATATAGGTGCACTTTGTAGTTCAACAATTACAGACTGTAGTCCATCTCTTTCTCTGCATACTTGGTTAGCCCTCTTTCACTCTTTTTTCAGTGGTGAGGACCCCCCACACGATCACCACAGAGCAGGTATTATTTGGGTGGTGGATCATTCTCAGCACTGCAGTGTCAGTGTGTGTTGGGAGTATGAGTGGATCAGATACAGCAGTATACTATATAATGAACTATGCTAAACAATGGCAAATTTACCTGTCATGTAAAGAGAGTATTAATCTAGTGTCAGTCACAGGTCAACTGTAGAACGTAAGATATAACTGCTTCTGTCTTTTCTTTATCTTAACATTAAGGATTTGTAAAGTAAATGATTAGTTGCTATTATTAATGAAGAAGGTGCTATAAAATAAAGTTTCATTTCTCTCTTTCCACAGACCCACCTCAGCCAAAAGTAATTCTGAGTGTAGGGTGGAGCCGTGTGTTTACTGGTGAAAAAGTGACTTTGATTTGCAAAGTTCCGGACACACCCACAAGCTGGAAATATACATGGCTCAGAAATTCACTGAAGATTTCAGATGATGTTGATACAAGCAACACTGGTAATAGCCTCTCAATCCTTTCTGCGAAACAGAGACACCATGGAAATTACACCTGTGAAACAGAGCTTCAAGACAGACCCCTGTCAAAAGCCTTAAGCACAAAATTTGCATTGTCTGTTCAAGGTAAGATCTCATCAAGAAAATCTCTGATAAAAAGTGCTGTGGCACAGGGCTTCTGTAAAATGAAACATCTATATTTCTTGGAATGTGATGTTTTCAATCCTGGTGGTAACCTCTGGTCCTTTTTAAGTATCATCAGATTTGGCTACTGGTCAGAATTTCCACTCCAATCTATGTTTGGAGCACTAGTAACTACACATTCAAGCTGAAAAATCTGTTTTCAAAGTTTACAAATAACAATAATCAAGCTCACGGGTAAATTTTCAACAGGTACTTAGTAATTATTTCTTCATGTTGCATTATTTTATTGTTGTATTTTTTCATTGTGTGTTGTTTTGATCGTTTTATTACTGGTTGAATGTTGTTGATCTTCTCACTGTAATTTTTTAATTCTTAAACTTTTTTTATGTATTTTTAGCCCGTCCACCAGCTTCGCTTACTTTGGAGACTAGCTGGTCTGACATCATGTCTGTGGACACACTGACTCTAAAATGTGAAATCAAAGATGGCACACTTGAATGGAACTACACCTGGTACAAAGATGGTTTGTTTGAGCAAACCATCCTTGAGGAGACATACAGTGTGAAGGCCACAGAAGAGACTTTCAAGAGTGAATACAAATGCAGGGGCAACAGGACAGTGCGGCCACTATACTCTTCCTTCAGTGAGGGCTTCAAAGCTAATAATATTGGTGAGTCACAAATTAATATTTCAGATTATACATTCTTGTAACAAATGCACAACCAACACCTGGGTGTTCTTTTATTATAAAGGTTATTGACAGTTACTAGTATGCTAACCAAAAAATCTGATGATAACTTAAAATTCTTATTTATTTATTTATTTAAGTTCTAAAACGAAAGGTCCTGCTTGCCATCTCTGGCTGTGTTGTCTGCAGTATCATCTTGCTAATCATTGGGTGCATAGTTTTGAGATTTACCCGCAAACCAGGTAAGGACAGGAAATATAATAATTTTTCAAAATGTTTTAAGTCCCAAACACTGGACCCTTTGTGCAGTCTGAATCTTGAAATAACATAGTTTCAAACCTGCTTAAAAAACATTAGTTTCTGTATTTTTCATCTTTCAATAGTTATTCCTGAAAAAATGTTTTTTTAATTACTAGAAAAACAGGAGATGGTGAAGGAAGACTTGTTTTTTTCCATGACAGACTCAAAAACACGTAGGTTTCATAGGTTTTGTTATTCCTTCAGGCTTCCATATATTTTGTATCTCATGTCCCATTTTTTTATTTATAAGAGCTCTGCATCTTTTCTTACAGAAACTACTTCACCCTTACAGGAATATCTCACAGAAATTGGACCTCCACTTGACAAGGAAGGTGCTGTATAGTAACAGTGCTTTAAAGTAGGGTGTTCATAGTCAGAAATTTAATAATATCAATGTAGCATTTTTTGTGAAACTGAAATTCTTGAAAAATGAAATAAGGCATTTATAGCATCAGGTCCACGACAAAAGTGTCTGGCGCTGTGCATCACATTTGTGCTAACAGAAGTAGATTTGTGTTTCTGTTTTGCAGTTTGTATGTGTAATGTAGCAGTTTGTGACTATTCGTGGCATTTTGTCAGCTGTTATCACAGAGTGTCTGTCATAGGAATCCTGCAATTATAAAACTCAAAAATACAAAGGTTGTGTCCTAAAACTCATATTACTATACTGTGTGTAATGTACTAATGAATGGGCTTCTATCGAAGGATATACTTTTTATGACATACTATTTAGTATGGTTGTTACTGATCAAATCTGATCTGTATGCAACTCTGTATGCAAGGGACAAGGCCAAAAACCAATACTGGTTGGCCGTGATCGTTGGGCCCTCAAGAAGTACTGCATTAAAAACAGGCACAATTCCATAGTGAAAATTGCTGCATGGGCTTGGGAACACTTTTGACAACCACTGTCTGTGAACACAGTTTGTCGTTGCATCCACAAGTGCAAGTTAAAAATCTGCAAAGAAGAAACCATATATTAACAGGATCCCTGCCTTCTCTGGGCCCAAGCTCATTTAAAATGGACTGAGGTGAAGTGTCCTGTGCTCCGACCCGTTAAAAAATGTAAGTAATTTTTGGAAATCATGGACGCTGCATCCTCCGGCCTAAAGAGGAGAGGGACCATCTGGATTATTATTAGCGCAGAGTTCAAAAGCCAGCATCCATGATGGTATAGGGGTGCATTAGTGCACATGGCATAGGTGACTTGCACATCTGTGAGGACATCATTAATGCTGAGCGAAACAGATTTTGGAGCAACATATGCTGCCATCTCAATGATGTCTTTTTCAGGAAAGTCCTTGCTTATTTCAGCAAGACGATGCCAAACCTAATCATGTAAGATGTTTTCACAAAGCAGTAGCATTAGACTAGTTACCTTTGCTCTATAAAACCTGGCCATCAGTAAAGTACAAAATAATAATAATAATAATAATAATAATAATAATAATAATAAAACAACAAAACAACAATTATAATAATAATAAAGCAACAGCTTGAAAAGCATACAGTTAATATGTTAAACACTAACTTATGGAGCTATTGACATTTTCATAAAGCAACTACTATATGTTCTATATTTTAAATTTACAATGGGCAAATAACAGTCTGAATATGTATAATTGAGGTATGGAGAGATGTATACATCTTGTTTTCTATCATCAAAGTCAAAGTCATAATGCAACAACGACTTACTAAATTTGCTACCATTTTAGAGTGATTTTTTAGTACATCAAATCCAGTCATCAGAAGTTCATCCTTGTACTTAGCAACATGACCTGACTCAACACCCAGATCTGGTAACATTGGTTACATTACCAATCACTTAGTCTACACAGAGAGTGAGTGTCTTTTGGAAATTCTGTAAAAATGAACATGTATTTTTCAGTTCTGTAATCAGAAGATTTGTACCTATAATGATGGACACACTTTAACAACTAGTAACTGTAATACTACAAACTGTGCCAAATTAAATATATACAGATCTGCAGCCATAGTAACAGATGGGGTCGCTTTTTTCAAGTAGAAAATAGAGGGAGCACAAGAACCAAGAGTCTCAAACGTTAAAAACTTGTCTTGTCCGTGAGAAATGTGATACACTTTTGTTTTTTGAAATTACATGCAAGTCGCAAAATAAGAAAAAAAGTACTTCAGGAAAAAGGAGTCAAATGGGCAAAAAAGAGTTTGCAGTGGCAGAGCTCCATCTAGTGGGCAATCTGAGTACAACAAGAGCAATAAAGAAAAAAGAAAGGTAAAAGGAGTAGAGAAATACATTGTGTGTAACAGCATAAATCCAAAGTTTCATACAGATATGCAGTTACTTGCAGATATAAAAACAATATTGTGGCAGACAAATGTTTTGAAATAATTTTAATTTAGTAGTCTTGTGCCACTTTAAAAGTTTAATCGGTCAGAGGCTGTAAAAAATTGCTGTAAAAAGCACTGTGTTGCACAATTTGCCACTGTGTGTTTGTTTTTCTTCCAAGAAAAAAAACCCTGGACATCATAGCTTCCTGTAGTAGTCATACACAGTTACAGTAGCCATACACAGTTACAGTACAAGCAGACTGTGTTTCTCTAAGCCTGCTATGTGAGATATGGTAACATGTAATTGCAGAGGATATGGCTTAATGACAGGAAATAGGAATGTGTGGAATTCTAAATGAGGACAACTACATCACTCAGTTTCCATCAGGCAGAATTTCAATCAAAGCATTGGAGAATTGGAAACTGGATATGTCTTTACTGAATTTTGCCATTCCCAGTGACTTCCATAGTTTCATTATTGCGTGACATGTCTTAGCTCTAAGTGTAAACCATTAGAAATCAGGAGATATTACTGTCATTGTATAGCATTCAAATGTAATTATATAATTAATTTCATAGTTGGTTAAAAAATAAATTACAATTTCCAAAAAAGTTGGGACACTGTGCAGAATGTAAATAAAAATAGAATGCAATGATATGCAAATCATGTAAACCTTAAAACGTTTTAAAAAAATTTGCAAATATTTTACAAAATATCCATAATGCTTTGTAATTGAAAGGTGACAATCACGTTGTGGCCAGATAATTTGATAAAATATCCTATAAATAAATATTAAACTGTACTTTATGTATGTATCTTTCAGACCTCCTTGTTGTTGATAAAGTGCTTTCTACTTGCTCCCTTTTCATTAAAACATTTATTGTCCAAATTTGTCTTTCCATTATTTTAATTCAGAACGTGATGAGAGCACAGCAATACTTAATGAGGCAACACCTATCATTGAGGATCAGATTAAAGGTAAGACAACTTCATGTGGAGATGCAGTGGCAGCCTACTCTGATTAATGCAGGCTTCTTTTATGTAAACAGTAGCTAAATGATTTACCTTAAATAAAAACAGTTCCTTAGTGTGGATTGTACACACTTCAGAATGTTATACATTTTTACTCTTCTTTTTCATTTGCTCCAAGAAGAGGGACTTCCATCTAAAGAGGCTGGAGGCTTTACATCTTTCAAAGGTATTTATTTGCAATACATATTTTAATACAATATTTGCAATTACCATTATGCAGAGTCTATAAATGCAATAGATCTTTGTCATTTTTAATACGCCAAGTACAGGCGTACAATATAAGAACTGATACAAATTCCTTTTTTTACCAAATCAAGTTGAGAAATCACCACTGAAAGAGAAGGATGGATTACAGTCTCTTAAAGGTAAATTTTCTTTTACAATTATTATTTTACATTGCTGTAAGAATGTCATAAAAAGTGAACTAACAGTCATAATTTGTTTAATCCCTTAAATGACTGGAGGAAGGAATGTTATGTCAACAGCATAAAACTAAAGATTCATACAGATTGTCTAGTAGATGGATTGTTCTTTAGAGCAGCTTTACTGAGGACCTCAGTTCATGACACCTGTGCCTCTCTGATGATGTGAGGCCTTTTATGATGACCTGCCTTGCTTTTTTTTAACTCTGATGAAGGGCATTTTGGTACCAAAACATCAGTATGTTTGATTCATTTGTGCTACTTAGAATAAACCTTACATCAATTGTTCCAGCATGATCTTACGTATTTTTTGAGTGCATCTCATTTAAAGGTCATTTGGAGCACCTTTTCACTCTGCTTACTTCCTTATCACTGTATTTTAACATTTGTTCCTCCATTATATTTTAATTTAGAACGTGATGAGAGTACAGCATTACTTAATGAGGCAGTACCTGCAGTTGATGATCAGATTAATGGTAAGACATTTTTATTTGTTTTATTTATATGCATGTAGGTTTCATTTATAGAAACAATGGTTAACAGATTTAGCTTAAATCTTGATATAAAGTAATGACAGTTTCTTAGCAAATGTAAATGTCACACACTTTTGAAAGATTTAAGTGCTAACCCTTCTTTTTCATTTACTTCAAGTAGAGGTCTCTCCACCTAAAGAGACTGGAGGTTTTACATCCTTCAAAGGTATTTATTTGCATTTAATATTTTAATTATAGATTTACTTAGATTATCTCCTACTTAATTGTAAGGCAGAAAAGACATATTAATGGAAATGAATTACTTCCAGTCCAATAACATATTTTCCAATGGAAATTCCATGGAGAGAGAGAGAGAGAGAGAGAGAGAGAGAGAGAAGGGGAGAAAATAGTTCATGGAAAAACTTCCACTACTCCTCATTCCACTGTGTCATTACTACACATTTCCTTACAAATTATTAGTCAGCAACAAGAAGGAGAAACATGGCTCTGTGAAGAAAGATGCTTTAAAATGTGATTTGAAGAATGAAATGGAAAGCATGTCACAAAAGCTCTGCAGACATATTGATTTCTCCAAAGATTTACCTTATCAACTAATTAACCCCTTAAATGGCCAGGGCCCATTGGCAGGCCCAAACCTTTATTACCCATTTACACACTTCTGTAGTCTAAGAATGATCCAGCTAGTTTGCATTGAATTCCCTGTAGTTACTGAACAGTAACCCTTAGTATGTAATATGCCTGGGATTTTATGGGGTTAACCCCCCCTAGATATCACAAGAGGGTATGTGTAATAGGACTTCAGTGAAGCAATGACACTACAGGTTAGACATTCTACAGGATCACATTTAAGAAACACAACACTAGACAACCTGCATACTACAGAGAAAAGTAGTATTGAATGTAAACAAGAACCAATGGACCTGAATGTGTACATGAATGAAGACACTGAGCCAGGTATAAGAAGACTTTTGTATTAAATTCAGGATGATACAAGTAACTAGTGCAGTTGAAAGTGGATGCTGTTTTGGATAGGCAGAAGATAAACTTTAGCAAACAATTCTCAAGTAAAGAATGCAATACTGTCTTATGTAAAAACATCTGACTACTCTTATAGGCTGTGCCTTTGACCAACTATGTTCGACAGTTTTAGACAATACAAATAGTTCACTCTCTTTGAATGTACTGCATGTTGACTCATCTCCATTGAAACATGAAGCTTTACCATCTTCTGAAATCATGCATATGATGCTACTTTACACTGCTATGTTATACAAATTAGAATTTATAACCAATTCTTCTTTTCTTTCTTCAAGCTGACATATCACCATCACCCGAAAGTAATGGCTTATCTTCTTATAATGGTACACATTTAATATTATTTTACTATTTAGAACAAGTATAGTGGAACTTAAGAAAAACAATACAATACAAATACAATAAATACAATACAATAAAACTACAAGAAAAACAAACAAAAAATCTGTTAGGCTGTTTAGTCTATTGTGCTCAATTCCAACATTTTTGCATAACATGCTTACCAACTCTTATTTTCTCTCACTAAGTTGAGACATAACCATTGACAGAGAAAATGGCTTAACATTTTAAAGTCAAGGTAAGTTAATTTAAAGTAACACTTATTACAATAAGTAGTGATTTTACCTATGTCAGTGTTTATTTAACCATTTTCAATCCCCTTCTTGAGGAAGCCCAGTTTTATTTGTAGTTATCATCCAGCACTTGGTTTGGCTAATCAATGCTTCATTATGTTTAATCAAGAGTGCTAGTGATGGAATTGTACAATCCCCTGTGATTGGCTGGGGGCATCAAGGAGGCATCTGGAACCATCTAGAACTTTGTTCTTCAAATTAGCTGAAGACTGAAGAGGCCAAATGTTTGTTCAACTTTTTGATTGGTGCTGTAATTAAACCTGATTAAATAGCGGTTCAGGTACAAGGCATTTAAGGTGCTTTCTTGGGTCTTTGTATTCACAACAAAATAAATATAGTAAGAACTATTGCAGTTACTTGGAATTGACATGCAACTACAATATAATTTAATTATGCTTTGGTCTCTCGTCAGTAAAAAGCAAAAGAAATCCTTATGATACATACTAAGTAAGATTTGAGTATTAAATTTGGGGTTAACAGGCTTGGGGTCAGGAGGTACTCTTTGTGTCATTTTGGGGGCATGTGGCAGCATTGATGCAATGCAGTTACTGATAGAAGTAGCATTTTCTGGGGTGGAAAAGTAGCAATGATTCAATTTCAGATCATTTGTGCTAAAGTCTCTACACATCATAAAGAATAGCTTTGAATTTGGTATAATGGAGTTTGGTAGTAACTGTTAAAGTGAATAGTAGCAAATTATACCAAAATCTCACAATGGTCTTCAGCAAAAAGACTGTTGCCCAGATTATGCTACGAGGAGGTTTCATCTAAAACAAAGCATCACTGACATTTCCTAGGTGTAGAACACCTCTGGAAAAGCCTGCCCTACACAGCATAGTAATAAAGAGATTAATTTGCTTTGGGTTCTTGTTTAAAAACTCAGATGATAAGGCATATGTATCTGCTTGTTCCTTTGTCACTTTCCCTACCCTTAAGATTTTATCTCAATCCAGCTCCTAAGCATCATGAGCCATGATTACCCGAATTTCCTTGATTACCTGATTTTGATGTGCTGGTAGAAGGTATATTGCTCAAATGAAAATCGCCTAGGAGCGTCCATTCAACTCATAATAGTATTATACCCGTCTTGAGGGAGATTATACAAAGTAGTTGATTTATAAAGCATATTGCAAAGGACATGATGAAGTAAATGTGACATTTTGCTTTGTAAATGTGCAATACTGGTTATAATAATGCGATATTGAGAAATAATCTGGCAACACTCAAAGTGGCCATTAGTGCTATCATTTGCACATTACCTTTAAGCTATCTTGGTGTTTGTTTCAAAGAGAAACGTAGATGAAAGCAAAAATCAGAGTTGGATAGGATCAGTGTAGTAGAAGGTATGCACAAGGCCAGTGATCTTCAATGTACTATAGTTCTTTTCTTTTTTTCAAAAAAGTCAATTTTAATTATTTACAATCACCAGTGTTTTCTTTGTATGCAGGGGTGATTTTATGTGTGCATGTTTAATTTGTTTGCTCAGTGCTATGTCCTGTCTTTGGTCAGCACAAAATACATGCCTGGTTATTTTAATTTAGAATTCTATAATATTTACTAGCTTGTTATATTGAACAGTAGCCTCATTTGTCATAATTCACAGTCGAGTAAGAACTTATGTTATCATGAAAATTGTAACATTATGTATACATTTATATTGTTTTTTAGATTTGTCTGTTCCTCCTTTCACCTTTGCTTGTATTTATGATTAGAGTGCATGTGTGGAAAATTTTGCATGGTATGAAATTGTCTTTGCAGGGTTCTTAGTGCCAGACATATTATGTACCAAATCAAGATAATCTAATGCAGACGAACTAATCAACAAACATAAACCTTGGCAAGCAATGCTTTGTTTCTATGCAAAAAAAATATATATATAATTCATTTCACTTTTCAGCAGTCTAAAGCAATTGTAGACATATTTTCTCTTAAAAGTAAATGTTCTAGAAAGGGTTCTTTGCATATAAAAACCAACTTTTGATACCCCAAACTTTTTAAAAATTGAACGACCCTTCACACAATGTAAAGGTTCTTAAGAAGCCTTAAATTTGTAAAGAACCTTTGTATTATGTAACTGTTCTTCAAGCCTTTAAACATGGTTCTCCAGATATCCGAAAGTACTTATTCTATGGCGCTGTGCAAGGAACCCTTTGTTGCACTTTTTTGTGTTGTTGCCTACTCACAGTTCATAATTGCTTGGTTTGATTTGTTGTTTTTTTTGCCACCTTCACTATGTGTTTTGATGTACTTGTGCAGCAATTTGAGCAGTCGTTAAAAATAAACAATATTTTTTTTATGTCAACTATCTGTTTTTTCTTTCTTGTATTTGCATTTATATGAAATAGACCATATAAATGTCTGGTATTATTATTATTATTATTATTATTATTATTATTATTATTATTATTGAAATAACAATAATTGTGAGTCTTCAGTAGGGCACCTTCATCATTTATGATCTTCCTCAGCTAAGATCTCTTGAAAGAGCTAATAATTGATATGAATAAAAGCTCTGGTTCCCCACAGTGCATCTGCTTCAGTTTACCAACATGGATCTTCATTCTTGGCATCACTGCATTCAAACACCCCCTCCACCCCCTCCACCCTCCAGCTCTTGGAGAAATAAAACTGCACACTCAACACACTGCAGCAGAACAGATTAACTGCCCTGCAATGAGCCAAGCATCAGGGAAATGTAACAAATCAAGGGGCTTTCTCACACCCCTGTGCGCCTATGTTTTTAAGGGGCAATTCTTAACCACCTTGAACCACACTGTTTGCAGTACTTACAAATCTGTATTCTTCCTCTTTCCTCCCTTTTGTACTATTCGTTATGTTCTCTGTATTTCATCCCAGGACATGCCAACCCATTCTTAGTCTTCGTCTTCCTTTTTTTCCTGTACTGCGCCTAATATTGCAGAGCTCAGCAGCCCTCCCTTTGCAGTATGTCATCCATGCAAACCAGTGTATGTGGTGGGAGGGGGGGTCTTTGATAGGCATCCCATTTAAAGAAGAGGCCCTACATTGCAGAGGAGCCTCTCAGCCAATCAGAGGACACTACTGGCTAATACAGCAGTAAAACAGCAGCACAGGCAGTGAGGGAGGGAAAAAAAAATGCCTGCAGTGTAGATGCATGTGTGCTTTTATTGTACGCCCTCTCCTTATACAGACTTCTGGCAGTTTACACAATTTAAAACTCAACTGGATGTAGGTGAATTTGTGAAGAAATATAGAAAGGTTTATAATAGGACACTTGTAAAAATCCAGGTGTGTAGGCACATGTTGGAAAGAGGATATTTTTAGGACACACTTCAGAAGCTTTTGGTCTGAAGCTATTTTTCCCTTTGGGACAAAAGCGCATGTGGTAAGTAGCACAATTTGTCGTTTGAGTGGATAAAGAAAGTGAAAACAGTGATGCCTTTTCGCAGTTTTGAATTGATTATGGGGAGCTGGAAGTCTTAGAAAAGAAAGACAGAAACGATGTTTTCCTGTTCTGTGGAGATGTGTTACAGTGTTTGGAGTAGGTTGACTTCCCTTTGTTTAAGTTTAATGCCCTTTAAAAGGAAAAAGATACTGTTATTAAGATTTGTTTATGTATCCTTTGACCTGTATTGGGCTCTCTAAAAGATTCAGTCTTGAAACAAGTTCCTGATCCTTTTAAATTACTTAACAACTCTCATAGCTATAAAGTGATAATCTGTGAGTATTAATGACCTGTGCTAAATGTACAAACACAACAAACCCATTCTAAGTATGTAAGTATTTGCATAAGAATATGTTGTAAAGCTAAAGCTGTCATAAGGCTAGTTAGGGTACTGTTTGTCATACTGTTGTAATTTTCATTTGCCCTCGCTTTGAGTTCTTTTGGTCTAACTATCCTTTTTTAGACTCAACCTACTGACTTGGGATAAGCAGTATAAATTCCGTTTTTCCTGCAGAAAATAATTAATACCTCTTTCCTTAATTGATAAAGTCCCTTGTTGTTGGTTACATCTTTTAATTTGCTGTGCAAAGTATATTTTGGAAGAGATAGGTGAAATGTCAAGTCTGGAGTTACACATGCTGCATGACTGATATCCACTGATATTCACTATTACTGCATAGTTGGAGAATGATTGCAGCAGCTCTGGTCAGATTAATCTTAAGCCATATATTTCCTCATACATACAGCGGCGCAGGTGCAAGGTACCAGACCAGGGCACTCATCACTCATCTCCTGGCCACGTGTATGTGTGTGTGTCTGTTCAGTGAAGAAGAGTGTGTGTGTGTGTGTGTGTGTGTGTGCGAAGGCGTCTGTGCTAAAGAGAAAACACTTAGACTGCAAAGTAGGGCAGAAGAAGAGCTGAATGCATGTGTGAAGGAGAGAGAAAGAGAGACCGAGGGGATAAAGGGCAGAGGGGAGAACAAGAGAGAGTGGGTGTCCTGGAAGCTCCAAGCACTGCAGTATGCTGCGGTGCCCAGCCCCATTACATACCACGCCAAATGCCTAAAAAAAAAAAATTAAAAAAAGACCACTGCAGCACTCTGCTTTACTTACATGTTTGCAGACAGCACAGCTGCTTTGTACATAGTGACTAAACAACGAAACAAAAAAGGCTATAATAAAACTTAATATTATTAAACTATAAAATAACTACTGCCTCATTTTCTGTAGGGCTGTGTGAAAATCATTTATCTCACTTGAAACTGATGGAGGTAAAGTATGTTATTTACTGTGGCATGAATATCAAAATTAGTCATCAGACATCAACCTCATAGATCTTGATTCAGTTCCATTTGTTTTGAATCAGCCTTCTTTGGCTTGAATAATGCATGTATTGATTTCTGGTCTAAGAGTACTTCATCTGGTGGAGAACTCCAGTGGTTATGTGATGATCACTGCTGTGTTGAACCTGAATCCGATTTGGATCCAAAGCAACTTTCATTTCCATCTTTCATGCTTAGCAGTCTGTCCAGTCAGCCTGCTCTTTCTGTGAAAACTGCAAAGGTCATAAGCAGTGTATTGCCTTCTGTGTGAACTCATTAGAGCAAATCGTTACAGGCATATGGTCTGGAAGCTCTCAGACAGAAGCACATTTTGAAGGTCAGCACTGTTTCTTGTAAAAGAAGTACCTCATGAATGCATCCCTAAACCTTCCAAGCAAACACAGAAGCCACAACAATCACAATGCACCAGGAAAAGAGGATTTAATTTATTTGTTTAGCCATAAGCTGTAACACTTGTCATATACAGTGCCTTGAAAAAATATTCATACCCCTTGAACCTTTCCACATTTTTTCACATTACACCCACAAACTTAATGTATTTTATTGGGATTTTATGTAATAGACCAACGCAAAGTAGCAAGTAATTATGAAGTGAAACAAAAATTATACATGGTTTTCAAAATTTTTAATGAATAAAAATCTGAAAAGTGTGGCAGGCATTTGTATTCAGCCCCCTGTACTCTGATACCCCTGAATAAAATCCAGTGTGACCAATTGCCTTCAGAAGTCACCTAATTAGTAAATAGAGTCACTAAGAACATTAGTGATCAAACAGCATCATGAAAACTAAGGAACACACCAAACAGGTCAGGGATAAAGTTGTGGAAAAGTGTAAAGCAGGGTTAGGTTATAAAAAAATATCCCAAGCTATGACCATCTCACAGAGCACTACTCAATCCATCATCTGAAAACGGAAGGAGTATGGCACAACTGCAAACCTACCAAGACATGGCTGTCCAACTAAACTGACAGCCCAGGCAAAGAGAGCACTAATTAGAGAAGCAGCCAAGAGGCCCATGGTCACTCTGGAGGAGCTGCAGAGATCCACAGCTCAGGTGGGAGAATTTGTCCACAGGACAACTATTAGTCGTATACTCCACAAATCTGGCCTTTATGGAAGAGTGGCAAGAAGAAAGCCATTTTTGAAAACAAGCCATAAGAAGTCCTGCTTGCAGTTTGTCACAAGCCATGTAGGGGACACAGCAAACATGTGGAAGAAGGTGCTCTGGTCAGATGAGATCAAAGTTGAACTTTTTGGCCTAAATGTAAATCGCTATGTGTGGTGGAAAACTAACACCGCACATCACCCTGAACACACCATCGCCACCCCGCTAAATGCAGGGCAATCCTGGAGGAAAACCTGTTAGAGGCTGCAAAAGACTTGAGACTGGGATGGAGGTTCACCTTCCAGCAGGACAACGACCCTAAACATACAGCCAGAGCTACAATGGAATGGTTTAGATCAAAGCATATTCATGTGTTAAAATGGCCGAGTCAAAGTCCAGACCTAAATTCCATTGAGAATCTGTGGCAAGACTTGAAAATTGCTGTTCACATCCAATCTGACTGAGCTTGAGCTATTTTGCAAAGATGAATGGGCAAAAATTTAAGCCTGTGCAAAGCTGGTAGAGACATACCCCAAAAGACTTGCAGCTGTAATTGCAGCGAAAGGTGGTCCTACAAAGTATTGACTCAGGGGCGCTAAATACAAATGCATGCCACACTTTCTAGATTTTTATTTATTGCGAATTTTGAAAACCATGCATAATTTTCTTTTCTCACTTCACAATTACTTGCTACTTTGTGTTGGTCTATCACATAAAATCCCGATAAAATTCATTTAGGTTTGTGGGTGTAATGTGAAAAAATGTGGAAAAGTTCAAGAGGTATGAATACTTTTTCAAGGCACTGTAAATCATTTGAGCAGTGGTGCAAAAAATCTGTCCTGCAAAAACTGTCTTAGTGGTACTGCCACTCTTGTTGCTGAGGTGGGACCCTCAAGGGTACATCTTCAGTACCTTTAGTTAAGGATCACAACTGTACCATATTCCATTGCAATCATATCAACTCAGTACTTGTCTCTAGACTTTTTATTTTATTTTACTGTTTTAAATTATTGTGTTATGGAATGTACAAATACATATACAGTTGTACCTTGATGAATAAAAATTGACCCACACAGTACCTTTACTGACAGTGTAGGGACTCCATGCACTGCACATTTTTGTTTTTTTCTTTACTCCAGCACACTTAACCAAGCACATTGAGGAGCTAGTTAATTAGTTGAATCAGGTGTGCTAGATGAGAGAAAAAAATGTGCGGAGCACGGGGTCCCTAGGACTGCTTTAGGGAACCCAAGCATTTCAATCTACACTGTCAGGAAAACATTATTGTGCTGGTACATTTTTGTTCATCGAGGTACAAACAATGTAAAGGTACAATAATAATGTTCAGGTC